GTTATCTAGCAACCCAGGACATCTAGGCAATAACAGGATATCTAGCAATAAAAGGGACTCCTGGCGGGAACATGCTATCTCTCTACTGTAGAGAAAATGAGTCCATCATTGACTGTGAATAATACAGTTATTTGACAGAGGATTTCAGTAGATGCACCTTATCAAGTTAAGTGCACACGTACTCCAGGATTTAAAGTTTGTTGCTGTTGTTGGTTAAAGATAAATACTAAATTTTTTTCTACATCCAATTGGATGACTGTATTATTTTTATCTGTTAATGAGGTAAAGTATATTAACAGCAGATTTTTCTCAAGAAAACACATGCTTACAGCCTTGGAATTAAACCTAACTGTATCATATGTCTGATTTCTTTTGTATTATTGGATTTGGTTTGTTGATCTTTTATCAAAGAATGTTACCTCTCCGTTCACAGTTGAGACTGATCTGCAATTTTTCTTTACCATTCTGCCCCTATTGCTTTTGATCCAAAGGTTACTTCAAACATCAACCTACACTGAAAAGTATTGACTTTTTTTGGTATTTTTTTGGAAGACTTTTTATAAAATTGGAACTGTTTGTTCTTTTAATTCTTGACAAAACTAGAGTATAATATATTCTCTTTGGAGGAAAAATCAGAAGTCATGACACTATTCCTTTAATGGTTGTAGGGTTATTCAGGTTTCCTATTTCCTCGAGTCTGAAGTTTTATGTTTTTCCTAGGTAATTACCCATTTCATCTAAGCCTCAAATTTATTTACACAGAGTCACTCATATTATTCTAATCACTGCTGTCTCTACCTGGAGTTATTTCTCTTTTCTCATTCCTAACATTTTTTTTCCCTGACCAGCTTTGTGTGTGTTAATCTCATTAGTCTTTTTAAAGAATCCACTTTCAGTTTTGTTGATCTTATCTTGCTCTTTTGCTAACATCCTAAATTGTATGAATAGCTTATTAATTTTAACTATTTCTTCTTTTATACGATAAGCAGTGATAGTACAAATTTCTCTGGGAAATTCAAATCCCACAGATTTTGATGCAAAGTATTTTTAAATCATTCTAAGTATTTTCTAATTTCCAATGTGATTTCCTCTCTGACTCTTGAATTATTTATGAGTTTAGTTTTTAAATTTCCAAGAGGACAGATTTTTATGAGTGTGAAAGACCCTCAGTCATGTCTGACTCTTTGCGACCCCATGGACTGTAGTCCATGGAGTTCTCCAGGCCAGAATACTGGAGTGGGTAGCCTTTTCCTTCTCCAGAGGATCTTCTTAACCCAGGGATCAAACCCAGGTCTCCCACATTGCCAGTGGATTCTTTACCAGCTGAGCCACCAGGGAAGTTTTATAATAAACTTTTTTTAAATCACTGATTTGTTGGTGTGGGGCCTTGGATTCACAGAACAAGCCAAATGATAACCAATTCTCTGAAATGTCATGAAGACTTTCTTTATGACACATACAGTCATTTTTGGAAAATACTTAATCATTATTGACCAAAGAGGTATTATGGCCACAAGTGTTAGTGTCTATAAAATCCCCTGGTCAATAAATGTGTTAAGAACATGAGTACAAAGAGACAGATATATGTACGTGAATGGGGCACACTCACATCTATGTATGTGTGACCTGTGTGTGTACTATCTACAGCTGCTTTCTCATTAAAGGGGGAGAAAAGAGCAGCTGTGACCTAGAGCCTAAAATATTTGCCATCTCATCCTTCGCCAAGACAGCTCATGAATCCCCCTTAGCATCTTACCTTACACTTCTCCTTTGTGGCAACTGTCACAAAAAAAGCTTAATTAAGTCAGTACTAAATGGCTGTTTTCTCAGCTAAAATATAAACCTGAGAGTAGAGAATACACTATAATTTATTGCTGTGTCTGCAATTCTAGCAATCTCCCTGGCCTACTAAGAACACTCAAATATCTGTTGATTTCATATAAATTCTGAAGTTAAATATGTGCTTTTCTGTTTTCTTATCAGTATCAGTATCCTCTTTTATTTGCTTTTACTTTATCACATCTGTAAAGAGGAAAGCTCTATATTTTTAAAATCAGCATTTCTAAACCTGTATTGCTATCACAAGAGTTACTCATCAAAAAAGAAACTCAGTGGTTAAATAAGTTTGGTTAACAAAATATTCTATATTACCCTCTGCCTGACTCACAGTGTGATAAGCATATTAAAGATCGCACAAAACTTATGGTAGGGAAATGTACTTAATTATTTATAAATCTGGATCTCCCCCTCAAATTAGCCAAAGATTCTACTTCTCTCTTAGTGCTTCTTAACATTTCAAAAAACATTGTTTTAGAAGATGCAGCAATAGCACACAATGGAACTAGAATGGGGTCAGTTTCCCTCTGATCACGGAGGGCAAAGGAGCAGACAGCCAACCGTTGAGGGTTCATGGACCATTTGTTCTGTTTTGCAATTACTTATATTTACCACTGACAATATGTAAATGACTGTCTTCCAATAAAACTTTATTTAAAAAACAGGTAGTCAAATCCCTATGTTGTGTAACAGGAACTAACAGTGCTATAGGTCAATTATATTTCAAAACCAACTCATAGAAAAAGATCAGATTTGCGGGCACCAGAAGTGGGGGATCGGGGAGGGGGAAGTGTAGGAAGGTGGTCAGAAGCTACAAACTTCCAGTTGTAAAGTAAATAAGTACTAGGGATGGAATGCACAACATGATAAATATAATTTATTTATTAACTGCTGTTAAGTTACATATGAAAGTTTGTTAAGAGTAAATCCTAAGAGTTCTCATCACAAGAAATATTTTTTCTACTTAATTTTGTATTTAGGAGATGACATTCACTCAGTGTATTATGGTCATCATTTCATAATGCAGGTAAGTAATTTTGCTGAACACCTTAAATGGATACAGGGTCGCATCCGACTCTTTGCAACTCCATGGTCTGTAGCCTGCCAGGCTCCTCTGTCCATGGAATTCTCTAGGCAAGAATGCTGGAGTCAGTAGCCATTCCCTTTCCTGGGGAATCTTCCTGACCTAGGGATTGAACCCAGGTCTCATGCACTGCAGGCAGATTCTCTATTGTCTGAGCCGCCAGGGAAGCCCAACGTGTACAGTGCTGTATGTCAATTATGTCTTAATAAAACTGAGAGAAATAAAAAGTGGTAATCTTAGATTTGGACCAATGGCCAGAAATTGCTGACCCCTGCACAAATGGACTGAAAATGACCTACACTGTCTTCCAATACAGTAGCCACTAGCCACACGTGTTCGTTTAAATTACTTGAAATTGATAGTTCCTTAATCAAGCTGGTTACGTTTCAAGTAATTAATAACCACTTATGGCAAGCGACTATTGCCATGAACAGCAGAGAAAAACATTTTAACTTCTCATTAACCCTTACAGAAAGTTTTCTCTCTTTTTTTTATATGTCGCTTTATTTTACACTGAAAATTTAAGTTCTGGGTAATAAGAGAAAAGAGTACCTCAATAAAATAATGTTCAGATCAAATGAATAAGTTCACATGAACTAAAACATCTTCCATGAGGTTTATGATTCTAATTTAAGTGGAAGAAGTAGATGGTTACACCGGGAGAAGGAGACAGTGGTAACTTAAGAATTTCCCCAATGAGAGCAGACAGCTCATCTCTAAGAAAGAAGACTCCTATTCCTACTTACTAATATAGTAAGCTTGGGTTTTTATCTGCCCAGGGGTTCTTTTTCTTCAACATGTTCTTGAGTCATGCACTGAAGACTGCCCTCATCTTGAAAGACTGAAAACAAAATGCTCATCCAAACAGAAGAGTGATCAGTGACACCTCTTACCATCTCTCGGTTCACTCAGCACCACAGCCCAGGGAAGAGAAGCAGAGACCATCCACATCAACTTACGAGGGGCTTCAGGGGTACAGACATCCCCTGACTTCCGCCCCTGGAATCCTCAGTGGGTACACCACATCCTGGCACTGACAGGAGGATTCACATCCCCAGTTTGCAGGTAGTACATCTCCCCCCTTTACAAGTGTAACTAACCTTAACACCTGCTCGGAGGGCTGGCATTTATATATAACGCACTGACCACAAGCACTGCCATGGGTGCCTGCCAGGAACAAGCTCTTGTTAAGTGACCTACAAATGGAACCTCACTGTTGAGCTCCTGGTATTTTATCAAACTGCCAAGCAGACCACTGGTGACCCTCAAATCAGCTCCCAGCCAGGGTCTTACCAGTGGCTTTAGACTGTGAGACGGCAAATAGGGGTCTCTTCCATTCTCCCTGAGCCTGTGTAACCAACTGTCATATACACAGAGACAACTCCTGACACTTGAAACTAGAAAAGAAATCCTGCAAGTCTCCATAGCAAGCAACACTTGAGCTGACCATCACTTCTTTATGGAGATCCTAACAGGAAGTCAAGCCACACTAAGACTCAGTCAGTTCAATTCAGTTCAGTCGCTCAGTCGTGTCCGACTCTTTGCGACCCCATGAATCGCAGCATGCCAGGCCTCTCTGTCCACCACAAACTCCCGGAGTTTACTCAAACTCATGCCCATCAAGTCAGTGATGCCATCCAGCCATCTTATCCTCTGTCGCCCCCTTCTCCTCCTGCCCCCAATCCCTCCCAGCATCAGGGTCTTTTCCAATGAATCAACTCTTCACATGAGGTGGCCAAAGTATTGGAGTTTCAGCTTCAGCATCAGTCCTTCCAATGAACACCCAGGACTGATCTCCTTTAGGATGGACTAGGACTACTCCATTATAAATGTACAACTCTAGGTGAGTAAAACAAGGCATCATCAAGGAGATCACAAAGCAATGTCCTAAACTCACTATTTTGACGTTTAAAGATACGACTTTATGCCATCCATTCATAAACAAAAACAGAAAACACACCAAGTAGTTTCAGTCGCTTTTCAGTAAAATTAATAAACACTGTTTATCAGCCATACTAGATAAAATAAACAAAAGGTTTAACACAATTATATCAAATATAAGTTTTGAAAAGCTACTTACGTCCAAAGAATCCTCCTTCAGTAGGATAAGGGCCATGTTCTGTGATACCAACCGGCAGGAATAACCTAGAGTGAAAAAAAGAACAAGATATGTGAATTAACCATCCCTTCCAGGAACGCACCATGTTCAGAGTGACCTGAATTCAGTCCCCCTCCTGCACCTGACTGATGACCATGTTAAGCCTACGGGCTCACACAGAGGAACCGAGCAGAGCTTGCCCCATGCGGCTCAAGAAGGTCTCCATAACTAATGACTGAAAGAGCAATAAACACTTGTCAGTTTTCTGTGGATCTTCCCTTATCCCTGTTATCCTTGTAGAACAGTAGGATGAGCTCTGGGTTCTCTAGAACAACAGCAAACACTTCAGGAGACAAATGGAACCCAAAAGTCCTCCTCAATCACCATAAATGCGCCTACCGTGACATTAAGTCCCTCACCTGCTTGGGACTTCCCTGGAGGCTCAGATGGCAAAGAATCTACCTGCTAATGCAGGGGACCCGGGTTCGATCCCTGGGTTGGGAAGATCCCCTGGAGAAAGGGATGGAAACCCACTCCAGTATTTGTGCCTGGAGAATCCCATGGACAGAGGAGCCTGGCAGGTTACAGTCTGTGGGGTCGCAAAGAGTTGGGCACGACTGAGTGACTAACACTTTGACTTTTACTTCAATCCTCATGCAGGTTTCTAAGGAATCCTATGATACACAGAGTTACTTTTCCCGGGGAAACTCAAAGCAATCCCATTTCAAAAATTAAATGAGCTTTAAAAAAGGTTTGGAATAAGAGTATCTCAGTGCTAATTCTTAATAATTCCCATTGCATTTTAAACAACAGTACCTCTCCTCTGTAGGTTAATTTAAGCCAGGTACTCTCCCACTTTTCCTCCTAGAAGCTGAATATATTTCTATGAAGCTCTTTCCTACTCAGACTTTGAGAGCCTCTTCTGACTCCTCCCCCTCAAATCCCCAGGCTCTGGGGAAGAGGAGGAGGTGGGCCTCAGTCAGTTCAGTTCAGTTCAGTTGCTCAGTCATGTCCGACTCTTTGCGACCCCATGAATCGCAGCACGCCAGGCCTCCCTGTCCTTTAGTTTTCTGAATGTTAAGCTTTAAGCCAACTTCTTCACTCTCCTCTTTCACTTTCATCAAGAGGTTTAGCCAACCCTAAGTCCAAGGGTGTTTATAGGGGCCCTGGGCTTTCTTTCAAATCACCCTGCTCAAGAGAGCTGGCAACAACATGCATTCACCACCAGCCCCTACTCACTTGATCTCATTGAGAAAAGGCAAGAAGAGAGTCCTCCCACCTAGAAAAGTGGCCCTTACAGCAATAATGGACCACTGACCACAGAAACAGGGAATAAGTTATCAGCATGAAGGACATCACCCTTCATGCAAGGATGCAGGTGACCATCACATGAAGGGCCTTAACCCATGCCGTTCCCTGGGCAACAGGGGCCAGGGCTCTCCTCTACAGAAGAGCCAAAATAACCCTTCCCACAGATGCTGTATTTATTAGAAAGGACAACAGGTATTTAATGGATGAACAAGTCACAGAGCTACTGTGCGTATGTGCTCAATTCTACCCAGCAGGCTCTCTTTTCATCCTCAGGAAGCACTACTAAAAGGCACAAAATAGAACTCAAGACAGACTAAAATTAAGATTAGAAAAACCTTGGGGTTTTTTTTTTGGGGGGGGGAGTGATAAATATTTTTGTTTATTTTGGAATATATGAAATATAATCTTCACGAATGATGGTCATTTAACAAGAATATTTAGCAGCCATCTCAGAACACAAATTTTCAAGCACGAAACTACAGCTTTTTATCCAACGGTTATTTTTTTAAGAATGCCATCAAGAATACCTAGTCCAGGCAGTTAATAACAGTTATCTCAAGGGAATGAGACTATTTTGCTGGTTATAACCGCCACATATTATTAATGTTTTTATGAAAACAACTAAGTCAAAAATTATAGGACCACACAAGCAAACACCTGTTAAACCTCTAAGAGGGGGAGAGGGGGGAAAAGGGAGGAAACACAGCACCATTTTCTATGCATTTCCAAACTTGTTCAAGTCTGTGTTTTAACAATAGTGATGAGTAGAAATGAGTTTCCCAGGATGCCATTAAAAGTTCTACAGAACAGGATAGAAATAATTGAACTTTCTTTCCCCCAAATTTTACAAATGTATTCTTCCTTCCTGTAAATTCTTGGGTGAAGTATAGAAGGGAGGTCTACATTTTATTTTCATTGACAAACAGGGATATTGAAACTTTAATCATTTTTCTTCCCTTGCCCCAGAAACTTCCAGCAACTCCACACAACAGAGACTGCTACAAATTTAGTATAACTCATGTGAAAGGATTTGCTGGTAGTTTTTGATATGAACAACAGCTGCAGAAGCAAGCTGTAATCTTTAAGCCGTCGCCTGCTGCTTGATTTTACATTTTGCAATTTAAGTCAAATGCCACTTGACAACTGAAGCTGCATAAAGATATTATGGAAAAGCTCAAAGTATTTTTCTATCCGTTGCAGGGAGAGGGTAATAAATAAAACCACTGACAGGTTCATGAATTTAAATACACAGAACTCAAGGCTTCTGAGAAGAAACAGGTTTTTTTTTTTTTTTAATTTGGAAAACGAAGCAAGATTTTGCCTAAAGAATTATCACACAGAACACTTGCTCTAGACAGACCATGGAAGTTTAACACAGTTAAATGTGACTTAGCTAATGTGGCAAATTAAATTATGTCAATCCAAGTTTGCTGTGCTTGATTTCTAATGTTTTTGGATAAAATGAGATCAACTCTTGGAGAAAAGCCAGGTATGAAATGTCAATCTACTCTTGTAAATTGAGGTCTATTCCTTTAATCTCACAATCTAACAAGACGACCGTAAAATGACTGAGGAGGGGACCTCTGGGATTTCACTCTTTACTAGGGCTGAAGTTAACAGTACACCACAAAAGTGTTGAGTCTTTCTGCTACCTGAGTAGACTCAAAGAAATCAAAATATTACAGCATCTACGGTACTTAGAGCAGGACCTGACTTTAATAAAATCATCATTCACACTAGAAAATATGACCAAACCAAACCTCTTGGAACTCACTATCACTGTCTTTTTTTTGAGGTAAGCATATATTGTCAAAGATAGCTCAACCCAAATTTCTTCAGAGACACTTTTGGAAGGTTCGTGTTCATGCTAAGTCACTTCAGACGTGTCCAACTCTTAGTGGCGCTATGGACTCTAGCCCATAGGCTCCTCTGTCCATGGGATTCTCCAGGCAAGAATACAGGAGTGGGTTGCCATTTCCTACTCCACAGGATCTTCTGGACCCAGGGATTGAACCCGCGTCTCTTACATCTCCTGCATTGGCAGGTGGGTTCTTCACCACTGCGCCACCTGGGAGGCCCTCTGGAAGGGTTAGGAATGACTGATTCCTACTAACCATAAACCTGGGTTTCACCAAACTAGCTGACAGAGGGATTCACCTTGGTCCAAATCCTCGGCAAGTGTGCTGTTTGTTCTAAATGATATCAAGTAGAATCTGGTCACTCGATGTTCGAGTGTGAGCATGTGGAACATAGCTCCAGATGTCAAAAACAAATGATGACAGATGGAACTCAATCTCCTCCAGACTGGGTCAAGGCTCAAGAATCCTTCCCCATCAGAGAACCAGAATGTTGAAGGCTTGTCCACAGAACCACACCCAGGCACCCTTCTCGCCAGATCCTCAGCTCTCAGAAAGGCTTCAACCATACCTCATCATGAACCCTGCAAACCCTGCCATCGTTACCTGTGCTATGCTCATTCTTTGTCTGAAACAAATTCTTGAGGTTCAAGTTTTAAACCCATCTCACCCATGGAGCCTCCCTTGGTCTTTCTTTTTTTTTAATTAATTAATTTTTTTATTGAATGATAATTGTTTACAGAATTTTGCTGTTTTCTGTCAAACCTCAACACGAATCAGCCGTAGGTATACATATACCCCTTCCCTTTTGAATCTCCCTCCCCATCCCACCCCTCTAGGTTGATACAGAGCCCCTGTTTGAGTTTCCTAAGCCATACAGCAAATTCCCACTGGCTGTCTATTTTACATACGGTAATGTGAGTTTCCATGTTATTCTTTCTATACATCTCACCCTCTCCTCCCCTCTCCTGGTGTCCATAAGTCTATTCTCTATGCCTGTTTCTCCACTGTTGCCCTGTAAATAAATTCTTCAGAACCATTTTTCCTAGATGCCATATATAAAAAACATGGAACGCATCACGAATTTGTGTGTCATCATTGCACGGGGGCCATGCTGATCTTCTCTGTATTGTTCTAATTTTAGTCTATGTGCTGCTGAAGCGAGCACTCCCTTGGTCTTTCCGATGCACATCTTTCCTTCTGGGTAGTGACTATCACATGTCAAGCTCACACGCTCAGACTCTCAGGCTAGGTGTGGCCCAGGCTAGGTAACCTGGTATCTCTGTGCCTCAGTTTCATCTTTAAAAGGGGATAATGTCAATCTCAAAGGGGATGTAAGACTTACAGAAAGGACTTAGTCATCATATGCCAACTGCCATGTGCACATTCACTGAGTAACTACTATGAACACCAGCCATGCTCAGCACCTACACTGCATGACTGGTACTTTCTCATCTATCTCATTCCTGAGTTGGTCTAATAATTCACTCAGGCCCCAAGTTGGGAATCTAAGCTCCCCAGTCTACGGGGGAGCATCTGGCAACTACGGAGCTGCAGGTCATCAAGAAACCACGCACCTGACTCTTCTGTGAGCATCACTGGGGCCGGGGCCGAGCTCCCCCAGCACCCCCGACAACCAGACTCATCTTCCTGCCAGTGGGCAAGTCCACGTTCATGGGTTTCAGAAATTAAACTTGCAAAAGACTACAGAAGTGGTTTCAAGGTATCAAATGACACCAAAATGTGTGTGTGGGGGGGGGGGTCTGAATTCCAGCTCAGATGGTTCACAATGAAAGCTGCTCCCAGCATGATGACTTTAAAACGGAATATGCATTCAGAGTTTGTCCTCACTTATGCTGCCTCCATTAAAAGAAAATTATAGACTCTGAAAACCTCACATCTACTTTCTTACTACGTAATAGATGCTTCATCCAGCCATAATAGGAAATGACAACTAAATGATTCACAAAGGCTACAGCTGAAATTTCACTTTAGAATAGCTGATGCTAAATTTTTAGGCTAAAAAAGAGAATTGCCAGTTCCCGGAAACACAGCTCACTAGTGTGTTTCAAGCACGGCACTGCAGAGTCCTGGCATTGCGCCAGTTCCAAAGGACCTCAAAGTCACATGCAGGATGACTGTGTCTACCTAATATTCATAAGCTCATACAAGACAAATATCCTGGAATTTAATTTGACTACATGTATTTATCTTCATATAAACTAAAAGGTATGCTTTAAATAAGTTTTCAAACTCTGATAGATAGATGGGTGGACAGGTGGTAGATAAATGACAAGAGATGGACAGAGCAAATACTAAAGACAGTCAATAGCACCAAACACCACATGTCACCTCTAAAGGGAAACACTGCCAGTTAAAACCATAAGAGTTAACAGTCATAAGACATTCCAACTTTGGAGGCAGTGAAATATGACAACAATGTGTGTCTTAGAATGCATGAAATAAAGTACCTTCTCCAGGGTTTTCAAAGTCAAATTTTGGAGAAGCGTGCTCATGAAAGCTGTGTGAATCTGTTTAAAATGCTTCCTGCAGCAGGACTCATGGCCCCAAGACCCGGCACTAACTGGCTTGGTCATTAAGTAGCGTGAGACCTTGTAGACTCTGATGTCTCCCGCTTCCAGGGCTGTAAGACCGCTGATGTGTGAAGACCAAAGGCAGGGTAGAGGAAGGACCCCCAGCACAGCACTTGGCTCTCAGGACTCGTCTCCTTACTCCAGCTGGAAGGAGAACTGCGAGACACTTGATCTGCTTCCCAAGTACCTTCTGGGTACCCTAACATACATATAGGATGCACTCAAATGTACAAAATATCCAGTCCATATTGTGGGAAACAGATGGATAACAGCTCATATCACAGGATGTTTGAGGAACATGGGACTAGAACAGAGGCTGACAACTGTCCTCGACCTATAGCATGACCTCAGGCTGCTCACAGCCGTTGCCTATGGTCTGATGTGGACAAGTCTAACATTAAGTCTAGACATCTGCACTGCATCCTCTACAGGCTCAACTGATGCCCTAATTCAGTGATACATACACAGTGGAATACTACTCAGCCATAAACAAGAAATAAAGCCATCTTCAGCAACACTCATCAAGTCATTTGGACTCAAATTCCCTGTCTTCAATTTTCATTTCTGCAATACTCAGCAACCAAAGAGGTTGTCAACTCATACAGGGAAGGGAAAGATGCAAGCCTCTTGGGAAAACATATCAATTGGTAAAAATCATTAAAATGGCTATAACTATATAAAATAGTAATGCATATTTAAACTTAATGAAAATATGTTTAGTCTCTGAGACTAAATTTTTGTGAAAAAATAAGAATATCAAGAATAATAAGAATATAAAAAATAATAAGAAAATCAAGCTGTCATCAACTCTTGAATTCCCTAGGTTTTATGAATGTATACTCAGTTGCTCAGTTGTGTCTGATTCTTTGACTCCATGGACTGTAGCCTACCAGGCTCCTCTGTCCATGGGGTTTTCCAGGCAAGAGTACCAGAGTGGGTTGCCATTTCCTACTCCAGGGGATCTTCCCAACCCAGGGATCGAACTGGCCTCTCCTGTGTCTTCTGCATTGCAGGCAGATTTTTTTTGCCGCTGAGCCACCGAGGAAGCCCTATAAGTGTGTCTAAATACTTTTCAGGAAGGTGTCATAGTTTTACTATTTATAACAGGCAGATAATGCTCATAAAGAGCATGTTAATTTGGTTTCAGTAAACTTTTCTCGACCTTGTGAATGAAGAATTCTATAAAACACCATCTGTCAGTGTGTCTGAGGAGCCCATGGACACTTCTACAAGCGTTTAAAAACACAAGACAAAAATCAGCATCAGGCAATTATTTTTTAAATGAATTACCTATATTAATAGCAGTTTCTTGTTTGTCACCTGTCAACACCCATATTTTAATCTCAGCCTTCAACAGAGTTGCTATGGTTTCCGGCACGCCTGCCTGAAGTCGATCTTCTATGGCGGTGGCTCCAAGTAGCAGTAGATTCTGGATTGAAAAACAGCTTCAATTAAAGATGGGGAAACATGTGAGAGTGGCGTGAATGACAAAACTCCTCACAAATGAAAGGCGGTCAAAATGTTCTGAAGTAATTACCTTATTTCCTCTACGTGAACCTTTGTTTGCAGATAATTAATGATAGATGCGTGTGGCATTTCAAAACCATCCACAAGGCTAGAGCCCCCCACTCCCCACACACACACACAGGCCAGCACTCATCATCTACTTCCAGGTACCCGGGCATCCTGAGATACAGACCATCTAGCAGCAGAGTACTTGGGCAGGTCACCTTGGGGACACCCACAGGACTGAGCCCTCCCTCTCACTTCACTGACAAGCCAAGGACAGTGGTCCAGCTAACGCCTGAGAAGAAATGACTCAGTGACCAGCAAGCCAACAATGTCCTGAGTGCCCACCGCTAGCATGGGGCCACAAGGGTACTGCATCTATTTAATTGCTTTATGACTCACAAAGTAAATATTGGAATCTTCAGGGAATCAGGGTAAATGGACATGCTAATTCAGCTCTATCTGCACCCAAATTTCTTAAAATGACAAACAAGGGGGAAAAAAGCAAAGGTGAATTAAAATAAATAAGTAAATAAAGGAATGAGAAAAGCAAGCAGGCAATGACTTTGAAGCTACTGAAACTGGAAAATGGACAGACCAACAGTTGCTGACATGAAACAAAAGGTTGAAATCCGGCTCCCAGATTTCAGGGGATCAGCCTGTAGAAAGCTGATTCACATCTTGGGAGAATGAAATAACAAAATCCACACCAGCGACACAAAGCAGCAAAGGCAGAGCTCAAATCGTGTTGGGATAGTAAGTGTGAGAACAGTAGGTATGATGTCCAACCAGCCTAGGCATTCTATTGGCCCAGGAAACTCAATAGGGTCAACCAATCTCATTAAGCCTCATCTCAGGCCAGCCCAGAAAGCCATCGATGCTGTTTTGACCCAGATACTTAAGACACGAATGTTTGGCAGAGGGTGGCTAGACCTTTCCAGTAGCCCATAAAAACTGATGGTTTCTTAAAGAAGAGAAATGATTAAAAATTAATGATGACTTTTTACTTGGTTTTTAGTTTTTCCAAAGTGTATCTTTCTTCACTGATGTACCTCATTGATTTAATGAACTCGTTTTACGAAAAGTTTCAAATAATCAGGTAACTGTTATGTAAGGATAATATGTCATAAAGTAAGTTATCAGGCTGCCAATTTTTGTGTTCAATAAACTGCAATTTCCTAGTGAGAAAAACAAAAAGAGCTAATGGTGAGTTAAGACACTCATAAGACAGAGAACATCACTGTGCAGATATAGCAAAAGGAGTCCTGCTCACAGACTGTCTGCCCGCTGGGTGTCACTGGGCAATAACAACCCCGCCACGTGCAGGTACCTTCTCGATGATCTCGTAGCACTCCTCCAGCCGCTGTGCACGATCCTTCAGGATGGTGCTGGCTTCCTGGTAGACTTGGAGCCACTCCTCGTAATCCCGCTCACTGAGGTCGGCGTAAGCCACGCACAGAGTCCGCAAGCCTGCAAGACAGCCCCAGCGTCTCTCGGTGAGGCTGCTGGTGATGGGCCAGCAGGGGGCTTACCCCCGGGGGACACCGTGCGACCCCACTGGCGCATGCAAAAGTGAGACAGACCATTGGCTCTGTAGGGTCACTCTGACTCCACGTTCACACACTCAAAAGGAGAATTTAAAAGCAATTCTATTTTAATATAAACCAGCTCTTCTACAGATGCTGACAGTAGAGAAGAAGCCATAAGAGTGAGCCCCCAGCCGCAGAGCAGGACAAGAGCTGGGTACGACCCACACCCAGGAGCCAGGGCTGGGGAGCAGGAGCGCCTATCAGACAGCAACAGAGGCCCAGCACGCTACCACACGAAAGACATGGGCTTCAATCAGCCAGGCTGTGCATGTACGTGGGCATGTGTCCCTGTGTGGGAGTGTGCTCCCAGGTGTGCGTTTGTGTTCTCATGTGTGCATGTGTGTGCGTGTGCATGTGTCCCTCTGTGGGACTGTGTTCCCACATGTGTGTGTGTTCCCTTGTGTGCATGTGTCCCTGTGTGGGAGTGTGCTCCCATGTGTGCATGTGTGTCTCCATGTGTGCATGTGTCCCTATGTGGGAGTGTGTTCCCATGTGTGCATGTGTGTGTGTGGGCATGTGTCCCTGTATGGGACTGTGTTCCCACATGTGTGTGTGTGTGTTCCCTTCTGTGCGTGTGCCCCTGTGTGGGAGTGTGCTCCCACGTGTGCATGTGTGTTCCCAGGTGTGCATGTGTGTTCCCATGTGTGCATGTGTGTGCGTGTGCATGTGTCCCTGTGTGGGACTGTGTTCCCCCATGTGTGTGTGTGTTCCCATGTGTGCATGTGTCCCTGTGTGAGAGTGTGCTCCATGTGTTCATGTGTGTTCCCATGTGTGCATGTGTGTGCGTGTGCATGTGTCCCTGTGTGGGACTGTGTTCCCACATGTGTGTGTGTTCCCATGTGTGCATGTGTCCCTGTGTGAGAGTGTGCTCCATGTGTTCATGTGTGTTTCCATGTGTGCATGCGTGTTCCCATGTGTTCATGTGTCCCTGTATGAGAGTGTGCTCCCACGTGTGCATGTGTGTTCCCATGTGTGTTCCTCTATGTCCCCGTGTGTGTATGTGTCCCTGTGTGCGTGTGTGTTCCTCTATGTCCCCGTGTGTATGTGTCCCTGTGTGTGTGTGTGTTCCCATGTGTGCTTGTGTCCCTGTGTGAGAGTGTGCTCCATGTGTTCATGTGTGTTTCCATGTGTGCATGCGTGTTCCCATGTGTTCATGTGTCCCTGTGTGAGAGTGTGCTCCCACGTGTGCATGTGTGTTCCCATGTGTGTTCCTCTATGTCCCCGTGTGTATGTGTCCCTGTGTGTGTGTGTGTTCCCATGTGTGCATGTGTCCCTGTGTGAGAGTGTGCTCCATGTGTTCATGTGTGTTCCCATGTGTGCATGTGTCCCTGTGTGGGACTGTGTTCCCGTGTGTGCGTGTGTGTTTCCGTGTGTGCTCCCCTACATCCCCGTGTGTGCATGTGTGTGCACAGACGTGGGTACACATGCCCACGGGAGCCCAGGGAGATGAGGAAGCAGAGGCCGGCACTCACGCAGGGGCCCGGCCCTCATCGCACGCATGTGCAGGGGAGCCGGACATCAGTCTGTCTAAGCCCTGCAGAGAACTCCTTTCCTGTTCTCTGTGGGTTCAGTGGGTTATTCTCACGGGAAGTCAGGGTAAGCCAGCGTCATAAGGAAAATAACAAGGGGAGTTTTCCCGGAAAGGGCCTATGAACTAGAAGACGATTCTGTGCAGCATCAGGGATGAACCTGCCTCACCCGCGTCCCCTGGGTTAAGAGTTGGGGGGTTCCCGTGCAGGTCACAGAGCACAGCTGGTCTGGGGCCTCAACTCTTGTCACTGCCAGGGGCACAGAACACCAGAGGTAGGGCCGGGGTTGGCACGAAACCACCATCCGCCTGTGAAGCAAGCCAAGTGCCGCCCAGAGGTGACACGTGAATGCGAAGGCTCACTGGAGTGGCCCCTGAAAGCACGGCTCTGCCGGCAGAGATAACATTTCCAACTCCACTCACCTTCCGTGGCAAAGTACTCCAGGTGGCAGAGAGTCTCCTCCATGTATTTTGAATCTTTTGAAAGTCTCTCAAAAATCACGTTATCCTATAAAACAGGGAAACGCTGTAATTGGCAAACCCTTAGGCCAGCTGACCCTTCAGCACCACAAGCCCAGCTCCGACTTCCTGGTTTCGATCCAGTACACGCCTGAGTGGGGAAGGGGAAGGACAGCTCTGGGCTGGATGCAGTCATGAGCTATGGAAAGCAAATCGGCTGTGAGTCCACAAATCGGGGAGGACCCCAGGTGTCAGGAGGATACATAATCAGGGACACAAAGGGGCCCACGTTCACCCAGGTTTGTGAAGCTCAAGTGGAGTTTATAATACCCTTTGCAGAAGTGGCAAGCATAAACACACATCCTACACTGTTCAAGTGTAGGGTCTCTTCCTAGCGCTGCCGGACTCCCACCTGGGGGCAGGCACAACCTGCCCGGCACAGAATCCAATTCAGCTGAGAACACGGTATAGACAGTTCATTACCCAGGGATTATTCACAACGTACAAAAGTAGGGCTGGAGGATTGCAGGCTACAGATCATGCAGCAAATATGTTACAAATGGCACAGTGTTAGGCTTCCCCCAAAGTTTTTAAGAAATCTAGTTTGGTTTGGGGGGAAGCAAGTTGGAAAAAAATTAAGTCTTATAATACTTTGGGCACCGGTGCAAAGAGTCAACTCGTTGGAAAAGATCCTGATGCCAGGAAAGACTGAGGGCAAGAGCAGAAAGGAACACAGAGGATGAGACAGTTGGATGGCATCCCTGACTCAAGTGATCACCGACAAACTCACTTGAGCTTGGGCAGACTCTGGGAGATGGTGAAGAACAGGGAAGCCTGGTACACTGCAAACCTAACATAATCTGGACCTCAATGAATTCACATAGGATGTCTTTAGAATTCACACACATTGCCCACTTTTAAAAACTCTGGTCACAGTGTCCTCAAATACTTCTTCCCACAATTAGTAAAGATCAGTAAGATTTCCAACGCATTGTTGATCCTAGTTTTATTTCATATTTCCTGACACAGACTCAAGAACTGAGCTTAATAAAGCTTTCCTTCAATACATAAGACCACAGCGTTACAGAATGTAGTTTTGTGAGTCAGGCTCATAACAACAGCATCTTTCCCTAAAGATTTAGATTCAATGACCAGGAGGCAGAGAGGACAAAAAGCCTGATGTGGGAAGTAACCAGAGGGGACCAGACGTGATGATGGACCACAGATGGACACCGCCTCAAGCCTGCCACACAGCCTCTGTGGTGAATAAAAACCACAAATACTGAGAGCAACTACTAAAGGAAAAAGACACACCAGAGTTCTTAAAAGATTAAGTCACTTCAGTCGTGTCTGACTCTGTGCGAGCCCATCGACTGTTGCCCGCCCCAGGCTCCTCTGTCCATGGGATTCTCCGGGCAAGAATGCTGGAGTGGGTTGCCATGCCCTCCTCCAGGGAAGCTTCCTGACCCAGGGTCTGAACCCACATCTCTTACGTCTCCTGCATTGGCAGGGGGCTTCTTTACCACCTGGGAAACCCTAAAAGATCATAGGTCAACACAAATGATTGCATCTGTCACAGCCACAACGCAAGGGTGGAAAACGGCAATCAGAATTCACACGCCAAGGATTCTGGAGGACACAGCCAGCTACTGTTTCTGAAACCAACCACTGACTGTCCTGGCCACGCTGGCTTGAGCCCCCGTCACGATCAGAGGGCTTTTACCTCTCATTGAGCTTCGGGAGCCTCTCAACCTGGGTGATCATGAGGGGTGCTGAGAATGGCAGGTAAGGGAGAAGCAGGGGTCCCCCACCGTGCAGACACCAGCCAGTACTTACAGCCCCTTTACAGTAGAGTCGAAGCTGTCCTGAAGGAGTTCGCACTATCACAGACATTCTCTTTCTGTCGCTATAAGAGTAAAGACACAAAGGAAAAAAAACTGTCATTGCTGTTTTACAGGATCACATCCTGTGATTAAACAGTAAGCAGCCCAAAAGGTGGTCTGGCTGCCTCAATCTCCATCTTCCCTACCTTCCTCCTCCAAGTCGAAATTGGTGTGCCTCCTACTCTCTTACTTATATATAAGGGACATAAATCTATTCTCTTCCCTACCAAGGAGACTCACTAGCACAGCTCTTGATGGCAGGAGAGACAGAAATGGAGACCTTGAGCGCCTCCTCTGTGCATCTAATTTTCTTCTGATGATACTCTGTCCATGTACTCTCATTGCACAGCTCAAAAATATCCAGCCACATGCCAAGTAACAAAGGGGAAGACTGAGTACAAACCCACTTCACTCAAAAGCATCTCATCCTGCCTTCTTTTGACTGGAGTGGAAAGAGATGATGGATTCTGAGAACATCGTGATTTAGCACTGAGGTCCCTCCCTGGCTCCTCCCCAGCGCCCTCCCTAAAAAAAAAGCTCTTACCTGAAGTGCGAAGCATTAACATCTCAAAACAACCGACTCCCCACTCACAAACCTCTCTACACACACCTGCCCCCCTCCTCTCCCCTCCTCCATCCTCATTCTCTCCATCTATTCCTGGTCAGACGCCTTCCAACCTGTACGGGTCCCCACAGTTAGTCTGGTAGGGTCACAGCGCCCCCTTCTGGTGGAAGCTTCTCATTTCCTCCACCAGGAGTGACCGTCCCACTAGCTAGTGACACAGTCACTTCCAAGACATACAAATAAAGGACAAGAGCTACACAGGTCCATCCCAAACCTGGGGCCAGTTAGGCTCACGAATCCAGAATTTTTCACATTTCGTAGAAGTATATACACACAACTACATCCCACTACATTCCCGGGGGGCTAGGACTGCACTCTGTTATACAACACATGGGTTTTCTGCAGTATTAGTCGCTCAGTCACGTCCAACTCTTTGTGGTCCCGTGGACTGTAGCCTGTGCAGCGACATGTGGCTAGGTGAGAGTCACACAGAACAGACGCAGCCCCGTGGCAGTCCCATCAGGTTTTGCTACCAAATGTCCACACTCCAAGTTCAGGGGAATTCTGAAAACAACTTGGAATATGATATTTTGTAAGTTTTGCATGTAAGTAAAAGAATGGACTGCCGCCAGGTCAGGAACAACACGGACTTATTACACCAGATGGACGTGAACTTCACACACATCCATGAGATCCAAGGATGCAGAAAGCTAAGAGCTGTAAAACGCCATGAGTCCTCCCCAAACGGAGGGTGGGGATCGTTAGAGGACTTGCCCACAGACCCTCACCCACCAAGACAGTGAGCATGGCCCCTCTCGGCTCATTACAGAAAACACCCGTCCCACCCACCTGTGTCCCTACGCCACCCCAAGATCCCTATCCGACCTCACTCCTGATTTAAACCTTTTCTTATCCCCGAATTTTCCCTCTAGCTCCTTGAGAGGGACACTCAGAAAAAAATCAAACTCATTGATCTCAAGGGGGGAAAAAAAACCCGTATCAAAAAAGAAAAAAAAATTTAAGTGACAACACCATCCTCTGCCAGCCGCAGAGACCAGAGTCAGAGACCAAGGGCTTCAGAGAGACAGACACAGACCCGCCCTTGAAGATGGGGTTGGGGCGGGGGATGGATAGGGAATTATTCCCAACAACCACAGACCCGGTATCAGGCTTCCCACGTTCTCTCCTGCACATCAGCGGGTGGAAGACCATGGGTAGTGCCTTTGAGAGAGAAAGATGATAGAAATGCAAAAACACAACCCTGAGCCAACAACATAAAAACACACCACACTGAGCCAGCAGAACCACACAACCTGTCAATTCTCAACGCGCCTAGTTTCTCAGACAACCAGCTCTCCTAATTACAACAGATGTATTATATCTAACAGACAGCCTTCCAGAAAGCAGGTGACCAGGAGCATCCGGCGGTGCCCAGGGCTGTCACTTACGGCCTCGATGATGACAGAGTAGGGCGTTCTGGCTGTGAAGACAAAGCCCAGCTTCCGGGCCCCTTTAACCAAAGCGGCTTCGTCTGTCAATGAGAACAGAGGAGGCATTGACTCATCTCTGGGAGGGATAGCATTCTGTTCAGCCAGTGTTATTTTTCACATGAAAAAGACCCACACCAGCGGCAGACACCTGGTCTTCCGTGCAGTAAAGACTGAGGACCTAGAAAGTGCCCACTCGCTCCTCACCCCCTACTAGGGCCCCGAAAGGAGCACCTCCCTCAGAGGAGAAGCCGTGGGCCTGGAACTAGTCCCCCAGGACACTCTGCAGCCAGCGGGAGACCGGAGACACACGGCGGGGCTTGGCGGGGCTGGCAACAGCACTGCAAATGCCCAGGGGTAGGGGAAGGGGGCAACGAGCACCCTGGCCGCGGGGTCTCACCTGGGGAGGAGGCCTGGTAGACAATGCTGTCCCCATCCCTCTCGGGGACCACGGTGTGGCACACGGCCAGCAGGGTCAGGAACTCCTGGATGCAGGGTGCTGTGGGCTGCAAACGGAGCTGAGGTCAGTGGCTGTCAGGACGCCCCTGACCTATTTCAGGGTAGGGACCTCCTGCTTAGAATCCAGGGGTCCCCTCCTGCTCCCCCCAGAATAGAGGTCAGGAGCCCCGGTGTGGACTCCAGGCACCCTTCCATTCACACCTGCTCATCATCCGGCCCATCTCCTGCGGCTCACAACCCCCTACTGCTGGTACCTAGCAAGGTGTTTGGTGTGAACTAAGCCCTTAAACTGTTTGTAAAGGAATGAGTCTTATTGGCCAGTTTGCTGTTTGACAGTTTAAATCCTTTGCTGCTGTCACCTGTACTTCCTTCTTACCCTTCACCATCCCAATGTGAACAGACCATTGCAGCCATCCATCTGCGTTATCACTCTCAACCTAACACACTTTGAGGACGCTTGAGTCCTTTCTCAGAAAGCAAGTCCTCACAGGTGCTCATTTCTTTAACATCCTTAATTAACACTCCCCTCCTCCACAGAAGGTTCTTCTGAGATGCCACTCTTCTGCTTAGAGGACCTCTAGCCAAGTAGCTCCATCTACCTCTGAGACCAAAATCCAGGAAAGGACAGTATCAATGTCTGTGATCCTGACACAGAGCACGGCCTTCAGCAGCATCCTCTGTGCAGCCTGGACCACCTGGTCAGCATCTCTGGGGCTGAAGCAGGACGGCTGCATCCCAACCCGGGAGCACGGGTGCCTTCCATGCTCACATCTCAGAACACTGCTGGGAAAGTTCTAGCATCAACAAATAGGCACTAACTGAAATATAGTATAGCAGACTTCTTCACTGAAAATTCAGTGAACGTTTTAAGTATATCTATCTTTTCATAAAATTTGGGAAAGATGAAGTTTTAATGTTGCTCGCGTTTACCTAATTTTAAAACTGAATTTTTTTTTTTTTAGAAAAGTCATATTAGGTTTAATTTATACTGGTTAAACTGGTTGTGAAATGCTCTGATCACTGAAAAAGTTAGTATTTTTCAGAATAACCTTTAGAACAAAAATGCATTTATATGGACCTGCAGTAAATCCTGGTTTCCTACAATAGTTCAGAATGTGACATCACAGTTAAGAATCCAACAGATTAAGATTCTGACTTTCATTTCTCCATCTGTTTGCTGGGTAACTTTTGGCCAAGTCAAGTTTTCTATGCAATTCCCCATCATCTCTCTGAGGTGACTCAGGTGCTAAAGGAAATATACTTCAAATGTCTAGCACATAAGTAGGATGCTATAAATCCTGCATATTATATCTTGTTTCCTAAATGATCCTAACCAAAAGATAGTGTAATTACTTTTCAAAATACATGACCTCTTAGATTCATAACTATGAAGAAACAGTCTTGCAGAAATCTTACAAAACAACAGAAATCTGAAATGTTAGCAAATTCTACGATCAGACTCATCTTGATGTGCTTACTTTATAACTTCACTACATACTTAATTGGGCTTCAAATTAAGTTATGCAAAGTGTTCTTCACAAACTGATCATTTTCCTAAAGCACTAACACCATAGAAGTGAAGCCACATCTCTTCCCCAAGTTCCAAAATAGCAACTTTCAAGATGCTACATACATACATGAATGCAAGTGCATCATAAAATGTTTAATGTCCCAGAAGTGAATGATGGCCCTTACATGATGATCCTCAATGTTCTTCAAGAGCCTGGGGTCATCAAAGTCGCAGGAATCACTAGGTGGAGGAGGAATCCGGCTGAGAAGAGAATAGGAGATATTACTCAGCTCCAAAGTTCCTTTAACTCAAATCTAGGAAAAATATGTCTTCAGAAAGAACCACACATAAAAAATCTATAAATTTATATTAAACTTTTAAAGATTTGAAATATTGTGTATTATTTCAAACCTCAAGACAGTAAATAAATCTCACACTTGACTATAAACAAAATAAGGATGGTCCCTGACTTACATTGTTTTGACTTAATAACTTTTCAGTGGTGCAAAACTGATAAACATTCAGTAGAAACTATCTTCCAGTCTTTGAATTTTGATCTCTCCACAGGCTGGCAACACATGGCACAACCCTCTCATGATTCTGGGCAGCGAGTGTAGTCCTACCATCACACAGGTGAACAACTAAAACATAACCATGCTGGACCCAGACAGCCACACAACAGATGAATTAATAAACCAAATGTGGTGTATATATATATGGAATATTACTCAGCCTTCCAAAGGAATGAAATTCTGATACATGCTACAACATGTATGTTACAACCTTAAAGATATTATGCTGGGAAGTGGGTAGTGAGCAGGACGTATCAGACCGATGGCTGGGTATTTTTGTTAAAAGCCCTGTAGCACGATTGGACTTTTAAAACCATACTCATGTTTCATTTTTATTCTGGTTCTCTCATGAAATAACATGCAAATTTTATTTACAAAATAATCAGGTTAGAAATGCTAATATAAAACTGTTCCAAAGCCTTTCCCACTAAAGTATAAAGGACTGTTAAAATATACTTACGAGAAATCATCTGAGGATGGTTCCCTTGTCAGTTCTGGAAAATGACTGCCAGAGAGAGAAACAGAGTAGTTACAGAGCTGTGATCAAAAACACAGGCATTCACACAAAGTACAAGCTCCGGCATAGACCATACATTAGGCTACTAAACAAGTCTTAGTAAATTTAAGAAAACTGAACTAGCAAGCATCTTTTCCTATCACAAGATAGGAAACTGAAACTCAATTACCCCCCAAAAAATGGAAGATTCACAAATATGTGATGATTAAACAACATGTGACTGAACAACCAATGGATCAATGAAGAAATCAAACATGAAATCCAAAAATACCTAGAGACAAATGAAAATACCAAAACTTGCAGAATGCAGCAAAAGCAGTTCTGAGAAGTTTATAGCAATAAATGCCTACCTCAAGAAACAAAAATCTCAAGCAACTTATACCAAAAATAACTAGAAAAGGAACAAATAAAACTCAAAGTTGGAAGGAAATAAAGATTAGAGCAAAAATAGATGAAATAGAGACTCAAAAGTCAATAGAAAAAAAAATCAATGAAATTAAAAGTTGGTTCTTTGAAAAGATCAAGTTAAGAAACCTTTAGCTAGACTCACCAAGAAAGAGAGGACTCAATCAGAAATGAAAGAGAAGACATTACAACTGACACTACAGAAATAAAAGTATCACAAAAGACAACTATGAACAATTAGATGGTAACCAATTTGACAACCTAGAAGAAACAGATAAATGCCTAGTAACATATAACCTAAACAGAAAATCTGAGTGCACCCATTACTGCTAAAGAAACTGAATTAATAATTTAAAAACTCCCAACAAAAGTCTGGAACCAGAAGGCTGCACTAGTGAATTCTACCAAACATTCAAAGAAGAATTAATACCAACCATTTTCAAAAAATAGAAGAGGGAACACTTCCAAACTCATTTTACAAGGTCAGCATTTCCCTGATACCGAATGAAAAAGAACATCACAAGAAAATTACAGGCCAATATCCCTGAATAACAGACACAAAAATCCTCAATAAAGTATTAGCAAACCATATTCAACAATACATTAAAAGGGTCATACACCACAATCAAGTGGGATTTATTCTAAGGATGGAAGATCAGTTTTAGTATCTGCAAATCAATATGACAACACCATCCACTTTACCAAAATGAAGAATAAAATCATATAATTGCCTCAATGAAAGAAAGTGAAAGTGAAGGCTGTTCAGTCGTGTCTGACTCTTTGCGAACCCATGGACTATACAGTCCATGGAATTCTTCAGGCCAGAATACTGGAGTGGGTACCCTTTCCCTTCTCCAGGGGATCTTCCCAATCCAAAGATCAAACCCAGGTCTCCCACATTGCAGCTGGATTCTTTACCAGCTGAGCCACAAGGGAAGCCCAGGAATACTGGAGTGGGTAGCCTATCCCTTCTCCAGTGGATCTTCCCAACCCAGGAATCAAACTGGGGTTTCCTGCATTGCAGGTAGATTCTTTACAAACTGAGCTATGAGGGAAGCCCCAATAGATTTGCCTCAATAGATGGAGAAAAAAGCATTTGATAAAATTCAAAATTCACATATAATGAAAAAAAAACTCTCAGCAAAATGGGTATAGAAGGAATGTACCCCAGTATAATAAAGTCCATATAATATATGACAAATCCAAGGCTAATATCATACTCAACAGTGAAAAGCTGAAAGCTTTTCCTCTAAGATCAGGAATAAAACAAAGATGCCTACTCTTATTATTTTTTTTTCTCAACATAGTATTAGAAGTCCTGGCCACAGCAATTAGGCAAGAAAAAAAAGTAAAAGGTATCCAAATAGAAAAGGAAGAAACAAAACTGTCACTATTTATAGATGATATGATTTTATATATAGAAAACTCTAAAAGATTCCACCAAAAATCTGCTAGAACTAACAAATTCAGTGAAGTTGCAAGATACAAAATCAATATACAAAAGTCTGTTGCATTTCTATACATTAGTAAAGAACTATCAGAAGGAGAAATTAAGAACACAATTCCACTTATACTTGCATCAAAAAGAAGAAAATACCTAGGAATACATTCAACCAAAGGAATGGAAGATCATATACTGAAAAGTGTAATACATTACTGAAAGAAATTCAGCAACACAAATGAATAGAAAGATGTTCTGTGCTCATGGATTGGAAGAATTAGTGTTGAAATGTCTATACTACCCAAAGAAATCCACAGACCCAATGCAATCCATATCAAAATCCCAAAGGCATTTTTCACAGAAATAAAATAATTCTAAAATTTATACAGACTCACAAAACCTTGAGAAATAAGAACATAGCCAAATACATTATGCTCCTTTTAAAAAAGGAAAGTGTTGAGATCAAAACATGAAGTAGAGATGTATACTTACTCGATTGGAAATATAAAGTTACATATTCCTTGAGATTTCTCATAGGTTAGTATTTATAGAAATAACCATGTTTTAACTGTTCTAAATTGGGACTCATTCAGTTTTAAATATCTTCAGTAGTAATTATGAAACCAAATCCCTTATAAATACCCTTTCAAAGTATCATAAAGTCAAGGTATTTGACTAAGTGGCTAAAAATAAACTTCTTTTGTTGGAAGGATACAAATAAAATTCAGTAAGTTATAAAGACACTCACCCATAGGTTACCCCAGCAATGCTACACTTTTTGAAATTCATGATATTGCATGTAAGAGTTCCTGTTTTGTCAGAAAATAGATATTTTACCTAAATCAAAGAGAAAAATATATGCCAAGAATGTAACAACATGCAAAGACACGTAAGTGAAGTCTTTTATTCTACATGTTTCAAAATCTGTATTAGTTTTCAAAGGTAAATTTCCTTAGGCAAGCAAAACATATTTTATAATTAAATATATGTTATATATGATAACTACATATTATAAAACTAATATATTTTAAAGCTTAAGACCACAATTTTGGACTCCAAGTGTGTGGAAACATACAAAAGAGATTTTAGTAACAGCCCTGAATCCATTTAATATCAGTAAGCACTAAATTTCGCCACAAGGCATCTCAATGACACTTACGCAGAATTCATTCTTGTGTTTAATACATCAAGACAACAAACTCAGATTGTGGCAACCACAAAATATTTGTTTTTAAAACTCCATCCTTTGGTTGTACTAAGAAAGCACGTCCTGAAATAGCACAGAACACCAAGCTTTTCAATCACCCTCATGGTGAGGTTACCTAAAGGCAGCATGGCACTGCAACAGATTAATGTAACTTTCTAAGGCACAAAGTTCTATAGATTTAACGTGCTAGGTTCTCAATATACAAAGGTGAAAAGAGGAATTCCTATGAAAGTCAATAAGCAAACCATTTGGATATGATTAAATGAGTGCACAAGAGATGAGCCCAAATGCACGTGTGCTGTTGTGCTCTGTCCTCTGGGGTGGATGCTCCGATGGGGGAAAGGGCAAAGAACTCAGGACCACAGAGAAGGGAGTCCAGGTCAGCCTCTGCATTGTGCACGTTGGAAAAGTCACTTCAGCCTTCTGGGACTCAACGTCCACGTCCATAAGGGTTTGGCCAGAAGATAAGCAACATTACTCCATGTCTAACTTTCTGGGAAATTACATCATAGATTAGTGAGGGGGCATAATTAACAGAACTGTCTCCAGTAAAATTCCAGTTTCTCAGGGACTTTCTAAAGAGGGGTCATGACTGCGGCTGGATGTGAGATGGATTCCAGGAATTCCCAAGAACCGTGCTAGGGAAGTCACAGTGCACTGTTTTTATACAAGACAGATTAATAACAAGAATTGTGTACTCTAGACTTTTCCTAACTGATAAAATATAAGCAAATACTAAGAATTATTTTTAAAGTGCCTTCAAGTAATGATTATTAATGATCCTAAAGAAGTCAAATAGTACACAGAAATATGAAAGTATTAAAGTAATGAATGTTTAACCATAAACAAGTTTTTATATAAGCTTTATCTGCAGTAAGACTAGGCGTATAAAAAGATCAGTAGAATCAGCCTTTCAAAAAGCAGTATCTCTTCCTGTTTCTTTTTTAAAAGTTAAAAGATGATATCAAAATATTTTAAAATGACAATTTTATAATAAGGAATTAAGATTTTTCTATTCTGCCTATTGGATTTTGACTTGTCTTTTCAGTTCCAACTCAGAACTACTTCCCCATGCAAACTTTTTCTATTCCCAATTAGGATGAACTATCTCATTGTGGGGGCTGGAGGACGTTGAATCCTTCATTTGGGTCCAGTTTAACAGCATCTTAGAACAAAGGTACGCTAACCATTATGCTAAAGTAACGAAGGCAGACAAAGACGACCAAAGACCTCGTCTCCACACCCTTGAACAGGCTCAGAAATCCCAGGACGGAAACAGACACATATCACTGTCACTCTTTTTTACTGTATTTATGTTTGGAGAGATTGTTGCAGAAACACTGAAGAGAGGTAAATTAACTCTGCTGGAAGACTGCAGCAGGGTTCAAAGAGAAGGCTGGTTTAGTCCGATACATACTGCACACTTCATGGGGTTGTTGGGAGAATCATAAAAGATAAGTAAATAAAATGAAATTATAATCTGTAATTATAGTGTATTCAACAGACCTAGACTTTTCAGTGATTTCAACTCACAATGAGGACATAATGCAAAATGTAACTCAGTAAAAGGCAATAAGGGTTTGGGGCTGGTGGTGGAAAAGAAACTGGGTCCCTGAAATATTACAGAGATGAAATCTGGAACATGTGAGAGATTTTATGGATTTATGTCCTTCAAATTAGCCCCCACATAAAGTCTCTTGGACACCAAGGAAATCAAACCAGTCAACCCTAAAGGAAATCAACACTGAGTATTCACTGGAAGGACTGACGATGAAATTGAAGCTCCAATACTTTGGCCACCTGATCCGATGAGCCAACTCGTTGGGAAAGACCTTGATGCTGAGAAAGATTAAGAGCAAAAGGAGAAGGGGGCAACAGAGGATGAGATGTTTAGATAGTATCACTGACTCAATGGACATGAGTTTGAACAAACTCTGGAAGATAGTGAAGGACAGGGAAGCCTAGCGTGCTGCAGTCCATGGGGTCACAAAGAGTCAGACACAACTTAGCAACTGAACAACAACCCAGTATCCAAGCATCTTAACCATCATCTTCCCTTTATTTGCTCCTGATTAACAATTTTGCATACAAAGTGACCTTGCACTATATTTTTTTGTACTAAATGTGTTGCAGGTGATAAGATCTTCTAGGTGATAAGATCTATCCATGCCTCAAAAAGCAAGTCAAGATCAATTAACATTTGTATTGAATTAATACCTCCAAATACTACAGAGCTCTTCAGACATCAAAACCACCTTTATGGAGAATTATTTTTGCACAATCTCTGCACAGTTCTTCCAACACTTGTCTGCCCCCGTGCTCACATCACTGTCCCAAAGTCCCGAAGAGGCGCTCACCTGGCCAAGCTCTTCATTAAGGTTTGATGTCCTGGCCATGGCAGGGGTGTCATTTCCTAGATAATACATATCTGTGTCCTGAGAGAGAGAAAAAAGTGGGAGGACTTCAGCAAATATCCACCATCCATCGTTCATTTAGATTAAGAAGAAGCTCAAAACAGGTAACTCAAACAAATGCTAATTTTTAATTTAGTGGTGAAAATACAGGGTCTGTTTATGTAGAGAAACACTGAGATACAGGGGAAAACATGGTTTATTTATACCTAGAAGATTTGGCTTCCAGATGATCATTTCCTAACCTAGACTAACTCATACTTCTGAGCTTAGCTAACACCTCATTCAAAGGGTTGTTGCGAAGCGCAAATAAAAATGCCCGTAAAAAAAATGCACATGAAAGTGTCTGGTCATCAAATACTAGCTGCTGAGGTTCAGAGCTTCACAACCATGGCGGGGTCCTTGAAAATTCCACCTGGACTCTTAAAACAGAACCCAAGTTCACTGTCACTGTGAATTTTTATATAAAGAACACTTAGGCACACACACTTAAGAGAGCTTTCCTTCTGCACTGGGGAGACTATAGAGCATGAGCAGCTGCAGCCACTCATTCCCACGCACTGGAAGACAGGGACCTGCTTGCCTTCTTCTCCATTATCCCACTGATGCTCCTGGGAGCACCTGCCTGTTTCATGGCCCAGGACACTGAGGCACTAGGCAACTAGTCACCACCACCACTGGCTCAGGGACAACCTTGCCCAGTCTCTGAGCAGTGAAATCCCAGATCGAATCATAAATCAATGACGCTCTTCCTTTTCTGGAGGCCCAGTTGCATCACTAAGGCTCTGACAGGATATTAGGAAGTGACATGTCCCCAGCAGTTCTGCTTCCAGCCCCGTGTGATACTCACCCAGTTTATGAAGAGGGCTTGTGTGTACTTCACAACCTCAAGAGTCACCAGCAGACTGATGGGAATCAGATTGTTGTAGAGGATGATGAATGTCAACAGGTTGTATCCAAAATTGTCTGAGGTCGCGTCTGCAGAAGAAAACCACAATATGTGCATAGCTTAGTCTCTGTTTATTTAGAGATTCAAGTTGAAATAGTTACTGAGCACCTGCTCTGTGCCATGAACTGTGGATACACAAGGCTGTGATGACACAATTCCTTCCAATAAAGAGCTGGCTTCCAATAGGAGGCTTTGGGGGAAGGGGGTTAGCAGAAGTAAGCATCTGCCAAGGTGGTCATATAGCAGGAGATATCGATTAAAGAGGAGTTCACAGGCATGCAGACACCACGGCAGCAGGGGTTTAATGGGAAGGCACCGTCAGTCACTCAAAACCATCCAGAAGAACGGAGGCTTAAGACAAGTTCTGGAGATGGCAAGAAGGCAGCTAACTGAAAAGGATGCAGAAAAGAGGACAGGCGTCTGAGATGGTTGTAGGAATACCTACAACCTCACTAAGGTAGGAGTGTATTGGGGACACCCCAGAGAATTGGTCAAACTGGGGCAAGCGTGAACAGGCGAAACAGGTGCAGACAGGGAGGCGGACAGGAAGCTTTGAGCCTATTCATAGAAGACAAGAGGAAGAATGTCTCAATGGAACATGGTCCCTAAAGGAAGAATCTGAAGCAGAATCGGCTAAGGCAGGAGGAGGGACCAGGAGAGGAGGGGTAGGTACAGGGTCTCCGAGTGTCAAAGAGGAAAGTTCTCTGAAGTCAGAGCTCTGACCCTGATGGCACAAGTGTGAAGTCTGATGGCTTTCACTGGAGCTACTCAGACTTCAACCTAAGGATAACAAGGCACACAGCGCTGAAGGAACCAAAAATAAGTAAGGTATTCACTGCAAATCATGCAGCTAGGACTGGAGTTTGATGTCAGCTGAGCAATTTAAATGACAGTTTCCACAAAGTTTGTATATCAGTACAGTGTCACTGTTGTTTATGTACCTAAACCATGATATGCTGCAACTAGTACATATGCAAATTCATCTGTGTTCACGTTTGAAGCTAAACATACAACATGGTTGAAATCCATGTTTTAAGAACCAAAATCAAGGAACTTTGACCCAACATACAACGGAAGTCCCAGTGCCTTTTTCCATCTGTAAAGTGGCAACAAGTGTCCTCCTGGGCAGTTCAAAATGTGTGAGCTTTCTATATGAGATAACTAGGAAAGGGGAAAAAAATGTTTTCATCAGTTTAACTAAAATATAAAGAAAGGTGGGAATAATAATTATCCCAAGAAAATACTTCAAAGTTTAAAATTCAAATGTATTACTCAACTTATCATTATTTATTTTGTCATTAAATTTTACTTATTTTTCTGGAATTGCTGTGGAAGGAGATTAGCAAATCTTCTCTCAAAACAAGAAGCCATAAAACTGGACAAAACTATCAAAACAAGCATTCAAAGTGCTGAGAAACCAATCATAGAGCACACAAAAAAATAAAAGCATGAATTCAAGAATAACTGCTCAATCTCAATGAGTGGGAGACTTTGGCATTTAAGCCAAAGTCTGTTTTTCCCTTCTCTCCCCCAGATCCATGTTGCTTAAGTTCTGCTCTGGGTTGTAGGTGGAGAGGGCCCTGAGGACTGGCAACTCTCATCCCCCCACCCCAGCCCAGTTGCATAAATTCTATCCCAGGGTGGGACAGACTGTCAGAACAGGAACAGCCTGAGGGATCTGACAGTATCTGAAGCAGAGCACAAAACTGCCTTGCCCAGGGCACTGTGAAAAAACAATAGACATCCCTGATCAAGGAAGACCAATCTCTCCCAATACTAGTGGGGGCAAACAAACCAGCAGACTAGACAGAAATTAAACAGGCAGATCCACGGAAAGATGGCCAAGGAAAACTAGCTAAGATTATACCCAGCCCTGGTGGTCCAGAGGGCAGGTCCATGTGCAAGGCTCCACCTGCTCACGAGACTGGACTAGTCCTTGTGAGCCTCGAGTCCCTGATTGAATGTGGGGTCAATTTTAAACTTCCCATCAGTGAGGCCAATTCTGAAGCCACACACAGATCAAACAACTGGCCCCTCACTGGCTCAAGGGAAGGTCAGGACAACCTCTGACCACCCACTGGCTGACTTCTAAGTTATGCTGACCCCCTAGAAGTCCAAGATAAAAACCTGGGATGACTTGTTGCTATCCAGTCTGCCTTACAAGAAATAACAAAGGAAATTCTCTGGGACAACAGGAAGTGACACCAGACAGCAATTCAAAGCACATAAAGAAACAAGGGCAACAAAGGTAATTATATAGTGCTTGTAAAAGAATATAGTTACATATGTTCTATACTTTCACATGGATTTTTTTTAAGTGGTAAAAGATTATAAAATTGCACGATGGACATATCTAGATGTAACATGGCAGTGGTGGTTTAGTTGCTCAGTCATGTCCAACTCTTTGTGGCCCCATAGACTGTAGCCTACCCGTCCCCTCTGTCCATGGGATTCTTTAGTCAAGAACACTGGAGTGGCTTGCCATTTCCTTCTCCAGGGGATCTTTCCAACCCAGGGATTGAACCTATGTCTCTTGCACTGCAAGCAGTCTCCTGCAGAGCAGGTGAATTTTTTTTTACTGACTGAGCCACTAAGGAAACCCCAATGTAAAATACATGTCAGCAAAAAAGAGTCAGGAAACAAGTCATGTGAAGCAAAGACACGACAAGTTGGTAACTCAGATACACAGGGAGAAATGAGAAGAACTGGGAATAAGAGTAAATAAGTACGTTAAAGTGAAACAACTCTATAAATACACTGGTTTTTTTTTCTTTTTGCTTCTTTAAGAGACATAAAATTATGTAGGCAGTAAATACAACATTGTATTATGGGCTTGATGACAAAGACGGATGTGATACACGTGGTAATAACAAGACAAAGTCAGGGAGAAAATGGACCTACACCGGAGTAAAGTTTCTGTATTTTATTGGAATTGAGTTAGTATTAATCTGAAGTCGATGCTGAGGATCATAATTCCTATGCCGTAATTCCTAAAGCAACCACTAAGAAAATAACTCCAACACTGACAATCAAAAAGGAATCATCTGGGATGTTCCTGGTGGTCCGGTGGTTAAGAATCTGCCTGCCAGTGCGGGGGGACATGTGTCTGATTCCACTAGCCTCGGGGCAACTGAGTCCATGTGCTGCAACTTCAGAGCCCACGCTCCAAAAGGACTGAAGCCCGCAGGCTCTGGAGCCGTGCGCCTTCTCCTGACAGTGAGGAGCCCGCGTACCACATCTAGGGAGGAGCCCCTACTTGCCACAAGTAGAGAAAGCGTGCACACAGCAGTGAAGACCCAGTGCAGCCAAAACATAAGTAATTTTAAGAAATAATCATCTGAATAGACAACAATCCCCAAATGAGTCCACCTTCACTTTATCACGAGACTCCTGTTCTTCCGATTCTTCAAAGATGGGCTTTGTGTACAACAGCCCAAGGGTGAAGAAGAAGGAAGGATGGCACGTAGTTGGAAGGATGGACCATGTCAACAAGCAGCCCGCCCAGCACGTACCCATCTTCTTGATGTACCAGTTCTTTCCTCCTTGAGAGCCGTTCCAGTACAGGGCCCCCACCGAGCTCACCAGGGCCATGACCAGGAGGATGCCGAACAGCACCAGGATCTGCACGTTGGTTACCTTCTCCACGTTCGACCTCTTGAGAGGGGCTTTGGTGGAATTCTGCACAGGAGCATTTAAAATCAGTGAGGGTCACAGAACACACCCAGGGGCCAAGAGGAGGGGGAAAAGGAGGCAAGTTAACCAAATTCAACAAATAAAAAGACTATGTTTTCCTTGCCCAATAAGCAAAGAAATTTTAAAGTAGTACCTTTAATCAATCAACATCTAGTTTTACATAAAGAACACAGAAGACACACTCTAAAAACATACGTCTCAACTTCACCCGATTCAGTCTGTATTTCTTATGACTACATTTTAACAAAAAATTAGCTACTTGTGTGATCTTAGACATGGCAGGTTCTACATCATTTACATCCAGTTTTAAAGAAATCAAGATGTTGCTAATTTAAGAGAAAAAAAGATTCTACCTCAGGAAAATCTAGAAGCTTCAAAAGAATAACATAGCTCTGTAATTAATACATGATGAGCTATTTTTTAAGCTCAGTAGCTCAAATTTTAATTGGGGCGGTGCAGGGGTGGGGAAGACATACACAAACACACACATTAATAATGCAAAATAGAACAGTAGGTGTCAAAAAGAAATGGATAGACAAAGAGTTCATTTGGAAAGCTGTGAACAGGAATAAAGAAGAGTTGAGAAAGCTTGAGGGGACAGGAGAATTCTGAACAGAGTCCTAAGGTCCTAACCACAGACAGAATACAGGCAGGAAGCAACGACAAAAGCAGAAAGACAGCGCAGCTGCCTATAAATGCTCATGGCCTGATTTCTCACTGCTCGTGGGGAAACCAGCCCAGCTACACAATAAGCGAGTGAGTCCAGAAAGCTTCATTAAGACCAGATTTGGGGACCACTGCACATCACCTTTGGAACCGCATATCCTCTGCAGTGGAAAAGTCAACACAACTGTTTGCACTGGACAGGTATTCATTCAAAGTCATTTTTTAAAAATCTCTGAAGGAAGCTGTGGGGAACAGAATAACATTCCTCCCCAGGATGACCTGGACCATGAATATGTCACTTTACATGGCAAAGGGGCTTTTCTGGTCTGACTTAGGGAGATTAACCTGAATTCTCCAAATGGGCCCAGTTTAATTACTTAGGTCTTCAAAAGCAGAAAAGGAAGAGATCCTTTCCCAGTAGTGGTCAGAGGGAGATATGACTACAGATAAATGGCCAAAGAGATGCAGTGTTGATGCTCCGAAGATGGATGCTATTGTTGTTTAGTCACTCAGTCATGTCTGACTCTTTATGACCCCATGGACTATAGCCCGCCAGGCTCCTCTGTCCATGGGATTTCCCAGCAAGAATACTGGAGTGGGTTGCCATTCCCTTCTCTAGGGGATCTTCCCAACCCAGGGATCAAACCTGAGGCTCCCGCATTGGCAGGCAGATTCTTTGCCACTGAGCCAGCAGGGAAATCCCTAAGATAAACATGCTTAGTCACTCAGTCATGTCTGACTCTTTGCAACCCCATGGTCTGTAACCCACCAGGCTCCTCTGTCCATGGGATTCTCCAGGCAAGACTACTGGAGTGGGTTGCCATCCAAGAAATTCAGGCAGCCTCTAGGAGGCTGGGAAAGGCAAGAAAGGAGTCTCCTCTGGAACCTCCCGGAATGTTCTAAAGAGGAAGGCTGCCGGCCAACACCACGATGTGGATGAGACCCTCATCAGACCTCTGCCCTACAGAACGTCATGTAAGAGCTTCATGTAGTCGTAAGCCACGGCATTTGTGCAATTTGTTGTAGAAGCGACAGGAAACCGACACAGCAATACAGCAGAGGTGACAACCCTTCCTGGAGGAGGACAGAGCAGAAGCCAGAAGAGGACAGCGGGGGCGAGGTGGCAGGAGCTCCACTCCACAGTCTCCTTCCACGAGTCCTGAGCCTTGTCCCCCTACAGGTGACACTGATTCACAAGATCAGTGATCGGAATGCTTGCAGGGCACTGACTGGCCATAAAAATGGCATCAACTCGAGTCCACTCTCTCCCTCCCTCTTCCCAATCTATCTGACCCCAACAGAGCTAGGATGAAAATGTCCCTGAAAATAAGACCACAAAGTCACAACGTGAGAACAAAATCGAGATAAAAACGAGAGGCGACTCATTCCTACATTCCATAGAGAATCTCAGACCACAGGAGGCTGAAACTTATCTGAATTCTATCCCCAAAACCAAGACTGCTGTTACTGTGGCTTTCTGTGAGGCTGGGGAGTCTAGGAGTTGCAAAGCTGGTGATTTTGTAGTCTTATAAGAATCTAAACACCATAGCACTGTTTCCTTCATGTATACTCTTTTCTCCATTTCACCTTCAGTTCAGTTCAGTATTTTAGTCGTGTCCGACTCTTTGTGACCCCATGGACTGCAGCACGCCAGGCTTCCCTGTCCATCACCAACTCCCAAAGCTTGTTCAAACTCATGTGCATTGAGTTGGTGATGCCATCCAACCATTTCATCCTGTCGTCTCCTCCTCCTACCTTCAATCTTTACCAGCATCAGGGTCTTTTCCAGTGAGTCAGTTCTTCACATCAGGTAGCCAAAGTATTGGAGTTTCAACTTCAGCATCAGTCCTTCCAATGAATATTCAGGTATTTTAAGACTGCCTACTCCAATCTTTTAAAAGTTATTTTTAATAAACATTCATTGGAGATACAATAAACATTATTTCTATGACTCTGTAAGTTTACTAATTTCTGATCTGTCCCAGTGTTTGAATCCCGGCCAGTTAACTGGGCTAAGAGAAGTTGTATTTCATTAAACACAAGAGCAAAAACCCAAAACTTCCAGCTTCAGCCCATGCACTTAGGGGAGACAAGGTCTACCTGCTCATCCCCCTTCCCTAAACATTTCTCCTTGTAGTGATGAACCTGTAATAATGCAAGTAGGAATCTGATATAAGTTTCTCTCCAAAATTCTCAGAAAATACTGCTACTTCTGAGTGATGGAGTTCTAAATAGAAACAGGCCAAAATCTCAGATTTTGCAAAATCTTAAATCAGGCCTGAACTTTACACATTTGATTCCCTTCTAAGAAAATAGTCAGCAGGGTACTAGTCAGAACAAGGAGCCAAACTGCCTAGGTTCAGATCCTAGCTCTCTCTTACTGGGAATATAACTTTGGTAACTTACTTAGGTTCTGTGCCTGTGTCCTCATCTAGAAAATGGGAACAATTCGTATTTTCTTCATAGCACCGTTGTGAGGAATCAGTGAGTTCATAAATGCAAGCTCCTTGGAACAATGCATGGGGCACTATTTGCTGCTATTAATGTGACAGTATCTCTTTCCCATTTAATCAATCAACAGAAACATCAGACGCTGAAATATTTTTACCAGTAAGTACTCTCAACATGAAATGAGGGAACTTTGAAGAGTGGAAGACATTGAGGTGAGAGTTGAAAAAAACAAAAAGAAGAACCCTAAAGCAACGGTGTTTCCTCTCTGTGGTCAAGCAGCATAAGTACAGACGGGAAATATTATTTCACAAACAGGATGGCTTCCAGCTATGTGTGTTATATTATATTCCTTTTAAAAGCTCATTATTTTTACTTGTTGTTTTAGCCCTAAAGGCACAGCCACCCTAGCACAGCTGTTCTGGGGCTTTCCATTATTCTGCACTCGAGCAGTCAACGTGTAAGAAGCCTTACAAAGAGGCTTACCACATGCAGAGGCAAGGAAGGTGCCCAGCACACTCTGGAGACACAGACCTCATGAGTTCACTGAGTGTACCTTGTTCACCGAAGGGAGGACAGAATCATTCTTGAGTGTCACTTAAGTATCTCTTACGCCTTAGTTACAAAGCTGTATCACCAACACATGATCTAGAGAAACAGCGTACTTAGTCGCTCAATCATATATGACTCTTTGTGATCCCACAGACTGCGGTCAGCCAGGCTCCTTTGCCCATGGGATTTTTTTCAGGCAAGAACACTGGAGCGGGTTGCCATTTCCTTCTCCAGGGCATCTTCCTGACCCAGGGATAGAACCCGCGTCTCCTGAGTCTCCTACATTGCAGTCTCCTACATTTACCCACTGGGCCATCGGGGAAGTCCAAGATTTCCACAGAGAAACAGTACTGCACCCTGAAAAAAGAACCACTCAGGGTACAAGGAATCTTAGAGAGCAGCGACATTTGTAAAATGCACAACCTGAAAACTAGTCTCAGGGCCCTGCCCAAATACTGAGCGGGTGCCTCGTGCTCTGTCACTTCATCATAAAGACGGAGGTAAAGTGTGGCCGGCGGGGCTTCCAGCTCTGGCCGCTGGCTGCTGATGCTAGGCTGGGGCAGGGTGAGGACCCTCCCCAGGTGGCAGGGTGCTAAGCTATTCATGGAGATCAGGTCTTCCACACAGCCACTCAGAACCCACACACTTCACGTGTTCTGATCAGCGCTGGTGGACAGGTGAGGACCTACAGGAAGGCTGGAGCAGGTGCATCCCAGGTAAGCACAAGTCTTCATCCATCCAAGAGCTGCCTCTCAGCACTCACCAGCTCCTGTCTCTGTGAGCTGCCACGGACCCTTCCTGCCCAGTGCACCCTCTGCAGCAACCCTCCTGCCTCCAAGACCAGGACTGCCCTAGGCCACTAGGCCCCCTCCTTGCACCTACCTCACCCACCCCTTCCCGGGAGGTCCCCTTGGCAGAGGGGTCTCCGTGCAGACTCCCACGCTGCAGAAGACAGTGTTGCTAAGCGTGTACTCAGGACCGGCTAATACTCTGACACTTTCTTCCTCCAGTGCTGCATTTAAAACCCACATGTAACATTCCTGCATTGGCTTCACTGCCTTCTGCCCCTTCCCCCAGCAAGTCCACCAACTCTCCCCTCCCCCCACTCCCTGAAGACTCGAGCCACCGGCTTCAGCGTCCTCTCTACCTGGCCCTCATCCTACAGTCACCAAATGCTGTGGTCCCTGTGTCGTCCATCACTCCTCAGTGGCCTCCGACAGCTTTCCTTTAGCATCCTACCCTCCGGGGATCAGGCCTGGGCCTCCACTCCACAAACCCTCTTCCCCAGGAGGTCAAAGCCAAGTGCCCTGCACAGAGGCCTGTCACTTATCAATCTTCCTCCACTTCAGTGAGTCTCAGCCCTTCTAATCCCCCTGACCTTCCTCTCCTGTCTGCATTGCAGTGACCAGCTTTTGTAGACACTGGGCTATATCACCCCATTGGTCCTAATCAATAGCTAATGCTCTCCTTCTATATCATTTAACCTTCAGGAGTGGACCGACACAACAGCCTCTGTTCTTCAGTTCAACGTCTAAAATGTGCTTCTTGGTATCTGGTCAACTGACACCCTCCTAACCTGGGCTGGTTGGCCTTCCATATGGACCTGTGTGTGTGTGTGTGTGCCTGCTCAGTCATGTCCAACTCTATGTGACCCCATGGACTGTATGTAGCCCTCCAGGCTTCTCTGCCCACGGAATTTTCCAGGCAAGAATACTGGAGTGGGTTGCCATCTCCTACTCCAAGGAATCTTCCCAATTCAGGGATTGAATCCTCATCTTTAGCTAATGCTCTCCTTCTATATCATTTAACCTTCAGGAGTGGACTGACACAACAGCCTCTGTTCTTCAGTTCAACGTCTAAAATGTGCTTCTTGGTATCTGGTCAACTGACACCCTCCTAACCTGGGCTGGTTGGCCTTCCATATGGACCTGTGTGTGTGTGTGTGTGCCTGCTCAGTCATGTCCAACTCTATGTGACCCCATGGACTGTATGTAGCCCTCCAGGCTTCTCTGCCCACGGAATTTTCCAGGCAAGAATACTGGAGTGGGTTGCCATCTCCTACTCCAAGGAATCTTCCCAATTCAGGGATTGAATCCTCATCTCTTGTGTCTCCTGCATTGACAGGTGGATGCTCTACCAGTGAGCCACCTGGAAAGTCGCCATGGACCCATGACCCTCAGTAACGACCTGCATCACACACTCATCTCTCCACTCTGTAATCCCCATCACTCCTCAGTCTATCTAACTCTCTGGGGGGTGGGGGGCAAGACTGGGCCTTTCACTATTGTATCCACACAGCCTGGCACAAGACATGGTGCCTGGTGGCCACTAAACACTTTTTTAAATCAAGAAACATCACCAAATATGTGCCTCGGAGGTTATACAAAAGGGCAGACAAGTTGAAAAGCCAATCCTGATGAATAACAACCATAAGCCCAGTAAGATGCCAAGTGATAGCAAAGCAATGTCAGAAAGGACATGGAAGGACACTGATTTATGCAGGATTTCAAAGTCATCTGGCAAAATGTGTCATAAAAGAATTACAGGCTATAAATTCACAAATAATCTTTAAAAAAATGAACAGGGAGAAAGAACAAAACCATTTTAGTACTTTTTCTCTTTGGTATAGGATACAAAGAACAAACATGATTTCAAAACTAACTGATTTTCAATTGCCTACAATTCAGTTAAATAAGACAATTTCCTATAAAATCTTAATCAATCATGTGAGAAGGAGAGGTAGAAAGAAAAATAAAGAAGTTAGAACAAATCCTCCCTCCCCCACCCTTGAATCTGAAGACAAAGTAGACAAGGACTGATTGTCCCATTAGATCCAGAAAATAAAGACGGTTGATATTTCAGGCAAGAGATAACAAATACCTGATACAATAAAAGAAAACCAGGAGAAACCACCTCGGAACCAAAATAAAGGCCCTTCCTTTCCAAACTTAGGTTCACAGCCAAAACTCGAGCCTCTTAAAGGCAACATCTGCATTTTACACCCTCTACTCCATAAAAAAAAAAAACAGGAAAAAAGACTAAAATTGGCATTGTTTCTCAGCACAGAAATGTTTTACCTGCATGAGCTTGGTGTCATGTCCAGTGTAAACAACTATGCCAAAGCCCCACTGAGTGTTTCTAAGCTGTGTGCCTCTCAATAAGATCTGGTCCGGCCCAAGGGCAACGGGGCTAAAAACAAGAAACAACATTTATATTCAATGAGAGTTCAAAAAAAAATGAGCATGAGCTTTCCCCTTAAACAAAAACCCACAATAAATGAAGTGTTTCCTTTAGTCACATTTGGACTATTTCACTGGGACACAGAGGCCATAAAGGTTACCACTGGCTTAATCTACCCCGAAAGAGACCCACACAGAAAGGCTGACCTCATCCATTCATCAACACAGAAAAGGTTTCTTTTTTTTTTTCCTTTAAAACATTAAGAGGAAATATTGTCTCTTATAACTCTATTAGGACACTCAATATCGAAAAAGGAACTTGCTAAGATAACCAGAAGTTTATTCATTTGGGAAAGTCAGTTTATAGATTATAAGAAAAAAAAAAAAACACCAAAGCTATACTATCAGATCTGTAGAAGATGACTTCATTAAATAAAAGCCTGAGTGAAAATTTAGAAATTTAAAAAGATAGTCTACAGAATTGCTCTGCGGACTGCATGAGACCAAGAAAGCTGTCACACTTAGAGTTGTCAGAGGTATCTTAGGTCGATTCCTATGGCTGGGTCCTTCCCTTTGGGTCTGTTCAAATATGAATGTGAGGAGCGCTAGTAAGAGGCATGATGATGAAAGATGAGCAGAAGAGAGACACTGCACCCCAACGTAATGACAAAAAATGACTCAAATGATAAAACAAGTGCCAAGAGGACAAGGATGACAGAATATAGACAACAGGGCAGTGAACATTCTAATGGAAGGATAGTTGTTCCTTTCATTTAACTTGCTAAAAGCACAGACTACTTAGAAGAAAGCAAAAAGATAAATAAAAAGGATGTTTCTCTAATAACTGTTAGCCTTTATACACTTCAGACACCTCTCTTCTGCTTTTCTGCATAATTTCATGCACTCAAAACCAACTAGTCTTTTACCTGATGGGTAATACACACAGATAGACACACCAGGCCAGTTTTGTGAACCTCATTTCAGACCCTTGTGACATTTTCTTGCCAAAAATCAGGTCTTCCCTTAAATTTCAGGGAAGCCTTAAATTGATTAAAATGGTGTTTCGGAAAAAGCTCAACATGGAGAAATCTGTTTTAAAACATTATGAAGCCAGAAGACAAACTGATATTTCCCAAAGCTCCTATATATAATTCTTAAGTCACATTAAAGATTAAAATAAAAACCACTAAGACAAGAGGAAGCGGTACCTTTTCCCATCCAAGTTCAAGTTCCCGGTGAAGTCGTAGAGGTGGCGATTGGGCCCTTCACACTCTATGGTCCCAGACAACTTCATCAGCACCTCCCTCGTCTGCATGTCCGCAGTGTGGCTCAAACCCTAAAACGTTCAACCCCAAGAGGAAACTGAACACAAACTTCCAGGCTTAGGAACGACACGCAGCACCCCTACTGTTAATCCAAAGGGAAGCCTGAATCAACTAAAATGGAATAGTTTTGGGACAGGGGGCTCCTCAAACATATCAACCCCTCAGGATGGATCATAGGTGGCTTTGGCCACAGCAACCGAATAGAAAAGGTTCAAAAAAATTCAACAAAGCAGGAAGTCAAGACTCTACTACTATGCTGACACATTCATACTAAAGTCATAATTTGTTATTGTTCAGTCACTAAGTCCTGTCTGACTCTTTGAGACCCCATAGACTGCAGTACATCAGGCTTCCCTGTCCTTCAGTATCTCCCAGAGTTTGCTCAAACTCATGTCCATTGAGTCAGTGATACTACCCAACCATCTCATCCTCTGTCGTTCCCTTTCCCTCCAGCCTTCAATCTTGCCCAGCATCAAGGTCTTTTCCACTGAGTCAGCTTTTCGCATCAGGTGGCCAAGTATTGGAGCTTCCGTATGATAATTAGCACACCAAAACACCTTACAAAAAGCATCCTTCATTAGCGGTATCCTGACAGGACCATAAACACAGAATAAAGTGCCCCTTTAATATACTGTGATGTCTAATGCCCTGTAACTCTTCTCTAATGAGAAAAATAAAATGTCTGTGCCAAATATCTAACACAGAAATGAAAACTATGTGGACAGAAGCATCAAATTCAGCTTGGTACCACAGAAAACTGGTGTCAAAATGAATCATTGTTCATTGAAACTTAAAACTTTTCTATCAAAGACTAATCTCCATTCAAGAATTAAAATATATGGTAAGAATGGCTTTATGTAAGGCATGGATGTTTTGTACACTGGAAATCTAATATACTACTCTCTAGAATTAGAATCTCCATGAAGACAACTAAGTCCAGTGAGGCACCCGGAGCCCATCTGGGTCCTCTGTCCACTGCACTTGCTGCCCGCGGCCTCTCCCAGGATCCCTTTCCTCCCACCCGACCAGGTGGAGAGTCCAGTAAGATATACATCAAGACATGGCTCCCTGTGTGGGCTGTGTTCTGAGGAAGCCCACTTGCTTTAGTTTTGTCATCACTCCCAAGGAATTCCGCCCCTGACCGTGCTCTTCCCATGGATCCCATCAGGGTGAAGGCATAACCTTTTGTGACAGAACATTTTGTTCCCTCTGGAAACAGCACCGATGGTTAACCTGTGGGAAGCACCTTTACAGTCTGGGCTCTGTGACGATGCAGGTGGTAAAGGGCCACGTTACCTGACGTATTTTAAGGTTCGTCTCCCCGTCCAGGTTGGCTGTTTCAACGTAACACATTGCCTGAGGTTCACTAAGGAAAGAGAAAAAACAAAACAGCCAAGTTGAATAAGGTCCACTCCGGCACTTCATGGCTGACAGAGCCTCCACCACAGAAACTCTGCTGACGGACCCTCACAGGGGTGTCAGAATTGACCACCGCGGGAGCAGTGACTGACTGGGCAGACAGACGGACACTCCAGTCCAGTGATCCGCCCACAAAGACCCCACACAACAGCGCCTGACCCCACGTGGGCAGAAGTAATGGAGGATGAACAGAAGCACAAGATGTCCCAGCTAAGACCGGCCCAGTGGGCTCAGGTGACCTTGAAAGTCGGAGGCCTGTCGGGAGCCGCCGGGACGTGCCCAGGCCGTGACAAGGTCACGAGATGAGAGAGGAACCTGCAAGGCAGCTCCTCCCCTCGAGGTCGCCCCGGGGACCCAGTTTGTCCCCTTTCTCTTTCTGTCTTACTGTTGTGCTTTCTTCTAAATCTTGGAAATGTAATATGTAGTAATCAGGCCTCCACGGAACAGCCCAAGCCTATTAGGAATTCTCCCCCAAAGCCTAGACCCACCATGCCTCCAGGTCACTGAGAGCCTTATGAGCAACCAGGAATGAAAGGTTTATTTAGATATCTCACAGATCCTCCTCGTTGGACAAATAGATATGAAAGGATGGTATGTAGCCATGGATTTGGTCAGTGTAGTTTTCCACGGTATGGAAATGCTCATGATTGCTTCAGCCCAGGACATGACCATAAGCACCGTACCAAGCCAAAAAGGAAAAGGCCACAGGCATAGTTTGGCTGCTTGCTTAGAAGATTATAATGTTCTAGGTTAGAAAAGAGTAGAGGCATTTAGATTCAGAAGTAGATGTACGATAGGTTAACGTTCTTTGGTCAAGAGGGTTTTCATTGTTGCTATTTCAGTGCTGCTATTTGTCCACTGTTTCCATTCCCTTAATAAACATAGAATATTACGGGTATTTTTGTAGAATTAGAAATATGTAGCGTAGGACTTCAATAGTATAGAAAATTTATATTAACCAGCCTCACTGCCATTACCTCACTATTAATAGAGGTATTTTTGCTGCTTTAGAGGTGTTTTGTGGTCACCACCTTGTAGACTGAGGTTTTGTGGTCTCAAGTAAAGAAAAATGTCAGGGTTATTCTCAGAAATGTCAAACATGTTTTTTGTAACCCTTCCCATGTATTGTTTTATTGTCCAAAGAATTCATACTGTATCTGGAATCTATGGAACATTGTTTTTGTCAGAGTGAAAATGTTAGGCCATTGAGGCAAGAAGACTATGTACGGGACATTCAAGGTAAATACCTGTAATCGGGATTGTTCCAGATAAAGTCATTGGGAAAGATATGAGGGAAAATATTGACGGGAGTATGAAACCAACATCTGATGTAACATGGGGTGATGGTAAGGGGGAGGCAAGAAAAATAATTCTATATAATCTGAGCTGTGAAAAAATAAAGTAGACGAGTTCTTGCATTGCAACCAGAGTCCGTGCACTTCTTCTTGCCGACGCCACTCATCCCTTAGGTATTCCTGGACCCTCCAGGGATGGACTCCAGCAGAGGCTGACTTGCCCTTGACCACAAGAGCTGCCCCGGTCAGGCCCGCACACACGGCATCTGAAGATCACAGCCGGAGGAGCTGAGAAACCAAGGCAGGGGATTGCAGGCCTTTTCTTTCTACAGTTTTTACTATGTCTACAGGCGACTTTTTAATCAAAACACCCAATTTCAAGGACAGAAAATTCAAAGAAGAAACGTAACCATGGCAGAGACTATGCCCCGACTTTGGATATTCAGGTCCAGGCAGCAGAGTTCAGGTTAAGAGAACAGATGCTATGACCACCGGCCACGCAGTCTCCTGCGCTGCCCCCCCCCGGTGGGGTGGGCTCTGTAAGCTGTCCCTCATCCCCGCTGCATCCCTTGCTGTCTCATGGACCAAGTAGGGATGTCTAGGGTTGGTGGGAAGATGAGATTCGATAATGTGCTCAGCAGGTGGCTTGGCACAAATGCCAACGAGCACATGGGAAACGCAACATCTGCTCAGACATGCTGCCTTCAAACCAGGCTTTCTGAGGGTCACATCCAGCCCTCATAACCCACACTATCAAGTGATCAACGTTTTACTATTTCTGAGAGTTCCTTGGTTACTGATCATTAGGGACAAACATGAGCCCTGCCCCAGGGTACACAGTGCTCATCCCTCTCTACAGGCCTGGGGTGCTTTTATTAAGCTTTTTATCTCAAGGGGAAAATCCATGCTAAGGCTTAAAATCTGACAAAATGAGTGATTCGGCCCCATAAAAGAAAGTCTGTCTGCGCTCAAATCACACACACCCAGTGTGACAGCTGATTCCCAGCAGCACATCAGTACAGCATCTAGTTTAACCTTGAGCTCAAGTTCAAGTGTATTCTTATCCTGATTTGGGCTTTTCTTCTCTGACAGGTGTTTTTATGTATCATCCAGGGGAAAGTCAAGGACTGAGATGTCTATCATTTACGCCCCTTGGTGATGATAACTCTGTGACACAAATTACCTAGAAAACAAGGACAGAAAGGGGGCAAAATATGGACCATCTGCAAGTCACATGGACGCTGAGAAATGCCTGTGGTCGCTGAACCTCTAGTGAAGGGAGGCCTGGATTCTGGGGAAGGCTGCTGGGCTGGACCCTCCATCAGAGCTGGTCCTCAAGTTTCAGAGACTCTGTGACCTGGACGCTACTCAACACATCACTCCACTGCTCTGAAACGTTTCCCTACCAATAAGGAACAGCCCAGAACAGCCATGAGATGAAAACGAGTCAAAAAACAGAAAAGTTCAGGAAGAAGGACGAGGTGAAGGCAGGATGACGCAAAGGAGTAAAAGAGGAGGAGCCTAGGAGGGGGTGGTGGCCGGGAGGTGGGCGGAAGGCGACCGGAGTCCTGTCCAGGCACCTGGCGACACTCTACTGTTCTCAACACCGACTCCAAAGCCGTGCCCTCGAGCCCACCTGACCTGGAGGAGAGCAGGACCACGTCTGCTGGAAGGTACTGCCCGTTGACGACCTTGACGATGTCTCCCACGGCCACCTAGAACCCGGGGACAAGGACACAGATGCATGAGAGACAAGCAAGTGCAACGTGGTTAAACATCTGGAGGAAATATTACTGTGTAACTGTGCCATGATGTTTAAGGCAGAGAAGCTCAAATTCAAACATTTCAGTACAGACGAATGGTAATACTGCCTTTTTACAATGATGCTGAATGCAGGAGCACAAGAGAGATGAGTCAAAACGATCAAGGTCTCACTTTCTCACAGCTATTCATCCACTTACAAACACACGCATGTCCATCCCCACAGCTGTGGACAGCCGGGCGAGTGGCTAAGGGCACAGATCTAGAGCCTGCCTGGATCAATCCCCCTTCCCCAGGGATACCCCTTCCCTGTGTGTGTAAACATTTGACATTTATATCCAATTTAAAGGCAAAAGAAAGCAAATATTTAAAGGAGATCCCATAATGAAGTCAAAGATGACACACACCTATTTTGACAACCAGCATAAGCAAAAGTATTTACAAAAACTGAAAACGTTTTCTTAATGTAAAAACATTTTATATGAATAGTTTAATTACACAGAAGAAAATCAGACGCAATTAGTTACGGAAAAAACTAGAAAGGAAAATTACTCATGTTTTCAAAAGAAAAAAGGCCATAAATTTTTTTTTTTTTCCAGTTCAAAGTGGGAGGACAGGGAAATTATGGCTTTCCCTTGTCTTTGCTAATGAGGTAGAAATGCTTCTTAGATTAAAAAAAAAAGTACTAAGAAGTTTTTTATATATGAGAAGCTACTTACTTGGAATTTCATTTGAAAATAGTTTTCTATCTGGTGTTCTTATGTGTGGTCGTCCCTTACGTGTGTAAGACTACCTAGAGGAAGGTTTCTTAAGGAGGGAAAGGGCCCCTCATCGGTCCCTGAATCCCCTCTTGCCTCACAGGGCTGCTCACAGTTCTGAATAAGCACAGAGGAAGGTCCCGCCAAAGAGCCAGGGTCACAGAGACGCCCCTGAAGCTGNCATGGACTGTAACCCACCAGGCTCCTCTGTCCATGGGATTCTCCAGGCAAGTATACTGGAGTGGGTTGCCATGCCCTCCCCCAGGGGATCTTCCTTACCCAGGGATCAAACCCATGTCTGTTACATCTAACCTGCATTGGCAGGCAGGTTCTTTACCACTAGCACCATCTGGGAAGTCTGGTCCATGCTAAGAGATCCAATTAAATAAGCACAATGCATTTTTAACTGAAATAAAAATGCATGTGGCAAAGCATATAACAGGTATTTGTTTTGTTTTTTCTCCTCTCTCAGCAAACGTGTGTGGGAAACAGTAACGAGATTTAGGAATCTGAATCCGTCCGCTCCTAGATCCAAAATTCTGAGCTCATCGCTCCAATTTCAAGCAGTGTCGGGAGATCCCAAATTCAAATAATTCTCCACTCTGGCCAGGATGACTGCCTTTCCGGGGAGCGGGTGGGGAGTGGCCAGGATGACTGCCTTTCCGGGGAGCGGGTGGGGAGTGGCCAGGATGACTGCCTTTCCGGGGAGCGGGTGGGGAGTGGCAGCAGGGACTTTAGGGAAAGAAAAGCCAGTCCTCAGTGCCTGGGAGGTTTTCGAGTTTCTCTAGTACTGGGAGCACTGCCACCCTCTGTGGAGGCAAGAATTTCCAACCACTTGACGGAGGGCCATCCCACTTCCTAATGCGGTCCAAGTGAGATCAGTTAGTATTTACAGGACAGGACCTCTGGGTGTCTACCAGGTTAAGGTGCTCTACCAGGGGCTAATGATCGCCAGCACAAAGTTAAAGGAAAAGAACTACAATGAAGGCTGCATTACCACATCTCCGGCATCCTAGAGACTCACAAGGTTATAGAGACATTTTGAAATGTTGCTTATTAAATGCTTAGCAAGAGAAACTATTATAAGTCACCCTTCTAAAACACAGTCTTCTTCTGAAATGAAGATAGTCAGCTTTGCATCTTGGAATCATGAGTCACACTCCAAGAACATCTTGTGACTGTTGAGCTCCAGTCACAACAGACACTCCCTGAAAAAGCCAACTTTAGTAGACATGAAATACCCAGATGGCACAGCAGGTCCTTTCTCAGTCTTCTATTTCTCACTAGCAACAACCAAATCACCAGGCCGTTCTCAAGCCCTGCCAACCCCAACCTCCAGGCTTGTGGATGCAAAGCCTTCTTGCTCTTGTAAAGCTAAAAGCATCAACAACTCTCAGCATCAGGACCAACACAAGACGATTCCAAACCCTGACTCCATCACTTCAAATTTAGTGCTAATCAGTCCCAAACCCTTTCCACTAAAAATGTCAGAAGTGAGAATCTCAAAAGTTAAAAAAAAAAAATCTTAAAAAAATCGAACTGACACTAAGATAGCAAAGAAGACCAGAGGAAAATGTTTCTTGAACTGGGTTTAGAAACTAGAAAATGCTGTGAAATTTCAGAAACATCCATCAAGAGCAATGAATTTCCCAGTTCTGAGCTGACATGAGGGAACACCTAGAAGATCCAGGAACAAAGGATACACATACCCGTTCCAGGGAAGTCTCAGGGAAAACAATATTGCCACACTTACCTGAAATGGACATGGCTGTGTCTTAACACAAACTGTATTCCAAAATCTACAGTAACAATTAATTACAAGTCTCCAAGCCAGTACTTTCTGGCATATCTGCCATCACAATATTGTAAAGTAATTATCCTCCAATTAAAATACACAAATTTTAAAAAATAAAATCAGTCTTTACCTCTTTCCACACAATGGTTTGCCACATACCATTCCTTAACACTGAAAAAGAAAAACAAAACAATGTATTGGTTAATACTGATGATAATCAGAATAAAACCAGCTTTCCAAACTCCAAAAGGCTCCTTTTAAAATTCCACTGATTAATCCCACTACACCATATCCTTAGACATAAAGGTGTAACACCACCACTCCCCAAAACAGAGCCCCATCAAGGTACTTACATACCATATATTCAGCAAAGAACACACATAAATACATGTGTATGCAAGGAAGTTACATCTATGCATATTTAGCCCATGTGAAGTAAAGTACATCTCTGTGCTGCTACAAGATTTTACCAAAGCATACATGCACCCCCTAATACACAGAGCTACTGTTCTAGAAATCCTAGAATAAGTAGACAGAGGTAGGGAGCAATTACAAAGCCAGAGTATGAATACTTTGACTTTTTACAGACACAATGTATGTCTCTCTCCTGAAAACTACCATCTTTTCTTAAATTTTACACAAATCCTGTTCAAATCTTAACTATCAGGACTCACCTTCTACTGGGCTCATCTGTCATTTTGCTATTTTTAGTGTATTTTATAGATTACTTCCCTCAATTTATCTCAACACCATTAACTACCAATTTAAAATTCCTTAAATGCAAGTCTTGTTCTTAAGTTTTCTAGCAGAAAAAGTGAGTCAGCCTGGAATCTTACCTATGGTTTTCTTTTTGTTAACTGCATTGTCTGCCTTATGTCGCTTCTGTTACAGAAAGGAAAAAAGATGTTAGTTTCAAAAGTTCCAAATGAATAACTGAAACATCAAACAATAAGACTGGGCAAAAGCAGGACAAAGAAGGCAACTGACAGGAACACTAATGTCCTAAAATTCAGTTCAATGGACAAGGTCACTCACTAAATTCAGAGGCTAACACAGTAACAATAAATGAGGTTTAAATGCCTATATTTTGGCTATAGCAAGTAACAAGCACTTTGAAGTATAAAACTTTTACTCCTAGATTATTTTAGATTGAACAAAAAGAACTATTCTACATGATTACCAACAAACAACGGAGTTCATTTTATTAATAAAGAACTTTATGGATAAAGTACTTTGGCTTTGATTTATATTGCATTGATTCATTTATCTATTTCCAGAAAAAATGTGTGTGCACGTATGGGAGAGAGGGGGAGACAGACAGAGAGGAAGGGGAGAAGACAGAACCTGAAAAGAAGACAGAAAACAGAGGAGAGTATGAGCCAGTGAACTTGGAGACACTGACACAAGGATGAGAGGGAGAAGAGTCTTGTAAAAATAACCTCAGTGCTGCTACCCTAGACAACCTGACATCAGTCAACACAGACTGAACTACTTCTGTCCCACTGTATGGGTATTTCAGACATTGTGTGGGCACATTTTCTTCCCCAAAATACCATCACAAGCCTTGAGAGGCTGGTTAACCTACAGACCAATTTTTCTGCCTGAAAGACTCCAAAGCAACAAGTAAGTTGTAAGATACAGTCAATACAGTGTTGTTATTATCTGAAAGCAAAAACTTACAAAATCTTCTACAATCTCTTTGATGCCTGCGATTGTTAAAATAATGATCAATGGCACCAGGGTGGTGTATCTTCCTGTTGGAGATACATCTGGAATTTGCTGTAAGATAAAGAAACCAAAAGTAGGGACTGGGCACATTAAAATCCTCTCCATGAAAAAGAAAATACAGCACTCACTCCTCACTCTTCTGTAGTTCTGTTTCATTTCTGTTGCAGTGATTACCTTATTTTAAAAACTAGCTAAGTGTGTTACATGTCTTTAAAATTTTACCCGACATCTCTGTGTTTGGAACAAAAACAGGGTTAAAGTGGGACCCTGCAATCATATTTCAATGCCTCTTTTCACAACTGCAATTCCCTTAAGCAAACACCTAAAGAATTCTACCTTTATGCAAATATCGCATTCATGCAAACAGTGACTGCATGAAGGAAGCAAATTTCATCAAGTATGATAACACTTTCTCAGTTAAGTGACCTTTCAGCAAGAGCTTATTTTGCATGCAATTAAAGCTATGAATTTTAAATAAACGTCACCTGTAATAAGGCAATGAAGAGGAAGAAGGCATTGGCAGCTCTCCTGATCTGCTCGTACAAGAATCGAGGTAGAAACGTCACCACGCTGTACTTGGCCGTGCTGTGAGGGCAAGGGACAACACTGCTATCAGGTATAGACAGAAATTCTACACAATGAAAACAAAGGTTCCAAAATTACACGAGTAACTGTAAGAACAAAATATTTCAAAACTCAGGATGAGAACATTGCTATGCTGGCCTGCTCCTACGAAGCTTCATTGTGTAAAAAGACCTTTCCTAAGAAAATCTTCTGATGTGATCTTGGCTTTCAGACTTTGATGGATATGTGTTTGGTTATTGCCAACCGGTGTAAGCAGGGACATGAACCCACCTTCTGGGAGCCTCGGGCTGTGAACAGAGTGAGCGTGCAAATGATGTTTTTAGAGATAAAGACGTGTCAAAGGTCACAAAACAGAAAGAGGCACACGTTCCCAACGCAGTAAGATATGAACGGAGAGAGGTGAAGCATCACTGAGAAACTCACAATCAGGGGAGAATTATCACCCTGGGATTGGTGATGCACTAGAATTCTCATCACACAGTCGCTGATTCAACGTAGAAAGTCAACTCTGCCAAACATGGTAATGGGTGTATGGTTGGCCGTTTAATGTACCTCTCTGGGCACTCACCACAGGCACTTTACGCCACTTCCACACACCCTTCAGTCAGTCATTTTCATTCACATTCCAGCTTCCACGGCCAATGTTCTGTGCTTCCACGCGGTGTCTCCAGGACTAAATAGTCCTACCCATCTTACCCTTCCATGAAGTCTGGTCCAATTCGAAGGCTCTTCCCCCAAGTCACAGTGTGGTGTTTACACCTTTGTTACACAGTCTCTGCTTTGCTTTGTATTATATTTATCTACTCCCAGAATAGACTCTGGGAATAATAAGATTATTTTCTTTATTTAAAAAATAAAGAAATAACAGACCCAAAGTGGAGTCACTAGTGCTCAGCCCACATCTCCAAACCAAGGCTCAATGCCAGATCTAACGGATGAGTTTCAGCCTCTCTCAGGAATGTATTCTCAACCAGTCTGGAGTCACCTGCTGAGCACTCGGGAGTAATCTGCCTGACAGACCCCCATGCTGTCCCCCCAAAGGAAGGTGACCTTGTCCCCAACAACCTATTATTTGCTAGCAGCCTCTTTGCCTGCTCCCATCTGCTTATAAAAGTCTTCCACTTTGCACAGCTCTTCAGAGCTCCTTTCTATCTGCTCAGTGGAATGCTGCCCAACTCATGAATCATTGAATAAAGTCAATAAGATCTTTAAAATTTACTCAGTTGAATTTTTTTTAAACAACTTTGACTTCGTATATTCCTGGCACGTAGCAGATAATCAATGAACCATGAAATAATGAAAAGGCCTGAACTAGGGATCTGAGGGATAAAATTAACCATGCCTCCTTTAGCTGCTCAAAGGCTCATCCATAAAAGTACCTGCCTGAGTCCTAGCTCACCTTATGAAGCCAACTCTTCTCTGAGGTACAGTCTCGAGAGATTTTCTAGGTTTAAAATACACTGATGCTGAAGCCGCAACTCCAATACTTTGGCCACCTGATGCAAAGAACTGACTCATTAGAAAAGACCGTGATGCTGGGAAAGATTGAAGGCNTTTGTAGTTTTCAGGATGTTGTCAGGTGGTTTAGGATATCACAAAGCAGAATACCATGAGATAGATCATAAACATTGGGGTCAGAATGGTCAGGTTTGCATCTTAGGTTTGACCATTACTGCTTGTGCCTTCTTGGGCAAACTGCTTATAATCCTCTGTATTTCAGTTTATTCATCTCTAAAATAAGATAATATAATCTAATACAGGATTGTTGTCAGTGTTAAATGTTACAATCCATATAAAATTCTTAGAATAGTGAATATTCAATAAATCATTTAAATTTATCACATACCTAGCAATGCTAAAGTATTCTACAGAATAATGGCAATACAATAATAAGATATGTTTGTCTTCATTTTGTTTAAGAATTATAAAAATTAATTCTGTATTAGACCTCAAGTAGATACAAAACAGGTGGTCATATGATTATTCATATGATATTTCATAAGCAGTCAGATTCAGAAAAATTACATAAAATAATAATAAGCACACACCCACACCCATATGTTGGAGAAGGAAATAACAACCCATACCAATGCTCTTGCCTGGGAAATTCCATGGACAGAGGAGCCTGGCAGGTTGCGGTCCGTGGGGTCACAGAGAGTCGGACATGACTGAGCAACCAACTTCATGATTCAATAGGTCTGGCGTGGGTCTCAGATTTTCCATTTCTAACAAGTTCCCAGGTGAGACCAGAGCTGCTGGTCTGAGGACCACAGTTTGAGTGGCAGCTACCCCTGAGGAGGTAGATGTATTCAAATCTCACATTTGAGTTCAGTCCAGCTGAACATTACATGATGTAATGGGATGGGAGATCTTTACCACTGCTGCCCCAGGTGAAGAACACGTACAGGATGACCGGGGTGAAGGAAGAGCTTCCCAACAGAAGAGTCTGTCCACTGGGTGAGCTCACTGACCCCACAACGTTCCCCCTCAGTCTGCAGGCAGCAGCACCCCTGAGAACCTGGCCCAGCGTCGGCTGCCAGCGAATCTCAGGCACTGAGCGAGTCCGCAGGGCCTGGGGCACGGGGAGAAATGACCAGGAGAAAACAGAACTGTACCCTGTCATTCAGTCCATCTAAACACCTGTCAAACCAGTGTTTCCTGAAATCGGGTGACATGAAGAATGACCAGGGGCTTGACAAAAATCCACCCATGCATCCACAGGTATATTCTGAGCCCCATCCATATACCAGGCATGGGGCCAGGCACTGTGGGAAACCGGAGGGTCACAAAAGCATAGTCTCAAGGGAATTACATTCCAGAGGAAAGTGAGATTTAAAAACCAATGCATGGCAGGATAGATGATGATGAATACCATGGAGGGAAACAGACCAGGGATGGAGGGCGGGGGAAGAGGTTGCTTTCAATGGTGATAAGAGACCATGTCGCTGAGAAGGTGACCTGTGAGCAAAGGCCTCTCTGGGGACCTGACTCAGCAGGGCCGGAACTTGGCTACATGTGTGGTGGATACACGCCTTGCGGAAACTCTTACAATGTGGCAAGTGTGGGAAACAACCCATCAGAAAATAGGGCCTGGAGAAATGTGTGTCGAGGGCTCCCCACCCATCACACGTCATAAGCACTTACAGAATCTGACCTCCAGAAGGCAGCCCCAGGACCAACCCTGAAATGATGTCTGAGTGTGAATTTTCAGCTGGGAGAAAAATTCAAGTTGATTTCCAAAGGCAAATCTAAAAATTCAACAGCTGCTCAAAGTGTAACTTCCCTGAATAACAAGCCTCCAGAAACCCAGGAACCAAACTAGCTTACACTCTACGTGTGAACAGTAAACACACACTGGGGTGTTTTCCTTCTCTGGCCCCACACAAATAAATTTCTTGCATGAGCCTAATATACCCAAACTGTTCGATGTTTACTGGAAGGGCAGAAGCCTGTTTAAACCCCTTCACCCCTTTGAGCTGGCCAGGGGCTCTAACACCCTGTTCTGGTACCCTCCACTTTCCCCAGCTCCCTGCAGGAGACCTTCCACCTTTCTGCTCTCACATACTCAATGAGAAAGAAGTTCTGAATTACTGGAGGAAGAAGATATGTCCTCAGTCATTTATGTCCTCATAAACAGCTTCATTCATTTACCCCTTCATTCATTTATTCCATTTATTCCATGGAACAGTCCATGCGATGTTCCAGGCCAGAATATTGGAGTGGGTAGGCGTTCCCCTTTTCAGGGGGTCTTCCCCACCCAGGGATCGAACCCAGGTCTCCCTCATTGCAGGCAGATTCTTTACCAGATGAGCTACCAGGGAAGCCCAGTAACACTGGAGTGGGTAGCCTATCCCTTCTCCAGCAGATCTCCCAACCCAGGAATCAAACCAGGGTCTCCTGCATTATAGGTGGATTCTTTACCAGCTGAGCTATCAGGAAGGCCCTATCTACCCCTTAAGAGTCCATTATTCTCTAACCCAGATCACTCTATGCAAAGCCCCCAGGAGACCCCCTGCCATTGACTCCTGGTCTCACCACACACCTAGGACTCACCCAGGAGGACATGCCAATGGATGGCCAGGCCCACCGTCCTCTCCCTGGGCTGGGACTCCTGATGTGTTGTCAACCACTCCTCCCAAATTATATTCTGGAAATCTCAAATGCAAAAATCCCTCTTAATCACCAGTGCCCATCCACATGAATATAAGACCACTAGAAAGTTTTACCTCATTTTACTAAACTACTAAAATTTTACCAGTTGCACATCAGAGGTTAATTAACTCATTTCAAAATGTTGACATATTTATTTTCAACACTTCTCTGATTTTTTTGGTCTATAGCTGGGAAACAAGTGCTAAATACTGCCTGGCCTCATTGCCTGGACCAGAATGTAGTCATGAGACCAGCAGTGCTATTAGTGCTATAATTATTTATAGCCTTTATTATAGATCATGCCAGCTGACAGATCAGCCTAATCTTTATAACACACATTCAATGAGAAAAATGGGCTGAATTTTAATCAGCTTATAAATATACCTTTGAAAATTAGATACCCTCATAATTCCTATTAAACAGCATGAGAGTCTTGTTCCTTTCACATTCCTAATTTGGTTTTCTTTACTCAATACATTATTCAATGAATAGCTTTGGCTATAAAGCAATTTATTTTGCATAGAAACATGGACTGACAAGAAGATAACAAAGAGAAGATAGCATCTTGAGCATGGTAGTTGCTGCCAAGCAAGTCTTTCAGTGCAGAAAACTCTTAGGTAAGAATTCTCAAAGGTCGGACGTTAGATGCTGATGGCTAACATCTTTAAACGCAGCACCATGAAAGAGTAGGTTAGATTCATCTGCTTTACAAGAAAACGTGTGAACTTTATGATGTAAAATCAAATGGAAAGAAGTTCTGAGACTCATTCAATTTTGCATCACAAATCTCCAAGGACCCTTTTCCATGAGAAGTCTCATCTTCAGTGAAAAACAAAAAAACAGCAGAT